CGAGAGAATCCACTTCTCAAGCGTTTCTTCCTCCCTTGCAGTAAGCTTGTGGGAATTCGGGCGAGTTTCTTCACGAAATAGGCGGCTATTGAAACGGTGTTGAAGAGTTGAACGAGGAATATTAAATTCCACCGCAGCTGTACGAACTGAGCGAGATTGACCGGTTTTTATAGCCTCAATGGCGAGGAGGATTTGGCCCTCTTGATACACCCGCTCTTTTGATGATTTCGGCATTTCTGGTGGGAAAATTGATGGTTGAATTGCTTCGTTTCTCGGAGGTGGGAGGATTCAGGGGGGTGGCTCGCTCGCTTGCGTGGCTCGCTCGGTTGACGATTACGTTAGCTGATCCTCCCAGCATCCACAACTTCTTTCCCCTTCTCAGTACCGACAACATTCATCTTAACAGCGTGATTTACTAACTAGACCGGGGATCTGAGTCGTCACCATGACAGAGGATCAAGATCTCATGGCCAAGATCAGCCAGCTTGCTGGTAAGCATTCATTCTCGCGCCGAGCGCCTTTCCTTCACTCGCAACCACTAATCTCTCTACGACAGGCCAGATCAACCGACACAAAAACCAGCAACCGCACTCTGACTCCCCCTATACCAGCGAAATCCCTGCCGGCCAGTATGCATCGCGACATGTGCCCGCGCGAGGACGCGGGTGGGCGCCGTATCGCGGCCGACAGTATCCCCGCGGGCGTGCAGTCGCTGCCCCCCACCGCCACCGAACGCTTATCCTCAACAACACCACGACATCGGGGACACCGGGGTCCACGCCCTCAGCAGGCGCCGGGACAGACACTGAAGGTGAAACCAACAACAAATGGGTGGCGAAGCGCGATCGACACATGCAGCTGATCAACTCCGCCATCTACGACAAAGAGGCCCAGTCGCGCGCCAAGGCTATGGAGGAGAGCCGCAAGGCCAAGTCGCAGAAGAAGGCGCAGATCGAGCAGGCCAGAGTGCTCCGCTACGCCCAGGGCCATGGTCGCATGTACCAGCCCACGCCGGGCTTCGCCGCTCCGCCACCATCCGTGGCTACTACCGCGGTGGCCGCCGGCGACCCGGCTGCTGCTGCTGCTGCTGCGGAATACCAGGTCTTGGTCAATGAGGTGCCCTTCCGAGTTGCGCGCGGCGGGAGCAAGCTGATTAGAGTGTCTGGTGCGTGTGGCTTTTTCCCCTTTTCCCGCGACGATGCGCCGCAGGGTGCGAGAGCTGGCTTACCGGTTGTAGATGATCCGAATACCGCCAATAATACGCCCAAGCGAGTCACGATCGCCGGCGTGGTCTTCGTGCGCAGTAAGAACGGCAATCTGCATCGTCTCGGTGCCGTTACGTCTAAGAGGTGACTGTCTCGTCTGGCCTGGCGTGCTTAATAGCTTACATGTACTATAGGAAGCCGATGGCGGTTAAGAAGAAGGACGCTCTTTGCCAGCGTTTCACTACGACGGGTACCGATACTTTCCCCACGATGGGCCGTTGGCCCCGCCTATTACCCCCTTTTCCCTTTCGCTTTGCTTGACTTGGACCGTGCTAATCAGGTGGCGTTTCGGATGATGTTTAGGCAGTTGCTACAAAGGACCGTTGTGTCCGTACGCCCACGATCCCAACAAAGTCGCCATCTGCAAAGACTTTCTCCAGACTGGTAACTGCAACTCAGGTATGAGTTGCGATCTATCCCATGAGCCTTCGCCCCACCGATCCCCTGCCTGTGTGCATTTTCTTCGCGGCCGCTGCTCGAACCCAGAGTGTCGCTACGCCCATGTCCGGGTGACACCTGGCGCTCCTGTTTGCAGGGACTTTGCCATCTTAGGGTACTGTGAGAAGGGCGCCGAATGCGACCAACGACATGTGCACGAGTGTCCGGACTACGCCAACACGGGCCTGTGCAATAAGAAGAGTTGTCGACTGCCCCATGTCGACCGCGCAGGGCAGATCAGGAAGAACGCCGCCGCCACCACCAACAGCGAGGTCGCAATGGGCGATGACGCTGATGAGGAGTCCGACGCGTCCAGCGATGACGAAGAATACGACGAGATTGATTCGGATGACGTCGACTCCGACGATCTGGAGGACGACGAGCCGGAGCTCATCACCGCCGGGGCTGACGTTGGAGACCTCGCGCGGCAGCAGGACTTCGTCCCCCTCTAATTGTATCCTGCCCACTAACTCCGTAGCACTTTGTAATTGACATTTGGCTGGGGTTGTATGGATTTGGATAGGACCACCGGCAGAATCTGAAACAAGAGAAAAGCGAAAGAGAACAAGGAATACTTCAAATGATTAGTTGCTGCTTTGGATTTGATATTTTCTTATGCTTCATGGACTGTCGTGTACCAGTTGCTGGCAAGATACCCGATACCCCCTTCAGGATTCAGTATGTCGATTGAAGAATAGAATTGAGACTGTTTTGGACTGGATTGGGCGAACATCCGATATTGTAGGTGCACCGTAGATGATTGATGATGGGTAGTGGCATCGTGTCTCCAGCGGAGTATGCTGTAGCACAGACAATGCTGTAGAACGAATAACAGGGAGGAGAAACCCCCGCGCTGCAGGACCGTGCTGCAGCTTCACATCTTCATGTCCTACTTACTCGTATTAGAAGACCTACAGGATCATGAGACAGGGGGAGCAAAGAGAGGGGAGATCAGGCAGTACCCATCTGTGAGTCACTCGCACGATCGACTGACTGAATAGTCGGTGATCAGGTAGAGAGCTTAGCTGAGTTAGCTACCTTACTAGGTATGCACTTTTTCCACCAACTCTTCTCAATAGGTAAGTTAGTAAGTAACCAGGCTAATTAGCCCCCTTCACGAAGTACAGTCTGTCCTACATTGACATCCAGCCTCACACCGTGGATCCGCATCCGATGGAGAATGCCATGCAATGCAATGCAGGCTCCTTTCTCCCCATAAGAACCAGGGGCCATTTCTTCCTCCCCCAAGTCGGTGAAGACGAGCACCAACGGTCCTGGACTGTACCTGGCCCTCTCGCAGCGTCACTGGCTGCCCTCCATCAGTCTCATCTCTTCCTACCTGACCGGGTGGGTGGGAACCACATTCTGACTACCAGTTAGTTGCTGACAAGACGGAAGAGAGAGTGTTTCATGTTTGCGAGGCTTTGATCCGCTGGTGGGCTGGGGGCCATCCGATGCAATGGGGAGCGATGTGATTAGTTCTGTGTCTGTCTCTGGTGCAGTTGATACCCATGGAATATCTCACCGACCTGCATAGGGAAAAGGGAAGGGAAGGGAAGGACTTTAATGCATGCATGCATGTATGTGTATGTATGTATGTAAGTCAGTCCGTAACTACAGGAAGAAAGTGAGGAGCTGGAGGCGGTCCGAACACCCACCGCTCCAAGCGCATCTGCTGCTGCATGACTGCCTGCATGACAAGGCGATCCGATCCCCGGTCAGTGCAGTGATTCCGTGCCTGATGCCCGGACCATGACCGCAACTTTCTTTGCTTGCTCCTACGCTCTTCATCACCGCTCGCTGGAGATGCTGCCCCTCTTCCCCACCAATCGTCATTCTTCCTTCCAACACCGATAATCTCTCGGGTCCACGGTGGATGTTTCTCTTTCCTTGATTCCCAGGAACTGCCTGCAGATGCTCGTAGTATCAGACATAAAACAAATGTCCCCGACTCCCCTCGTCTACTAAAGCTTTCTAGGGGAAGTTTCTGCTTTCTTCCGATAGGAGGAGATGCACTGCGAAGAAGGCTGACTCGGTCCACATGGTGCTTCTGCTCATACTTACTAAGTATTTCCCCATCGTCTCTGTTTCTTTCTTTGCATTTTGGCCATTGCTTTCCCCCTGTCTCCGCTCTTCCTGGTACCTACGGACTCCAGTCGGGCTGAACCTCTATCTCGCGTGGCTCTGATACAGCTGCTGCTGGCTTTGCCTGTGTCTTTGACTGACCCGCAGCCCGAGGGGCAGTGATTCGTGGTTACACGTAGATCAGTTAGGTTGAAACACTCCCCCCAACACTCTTCCTACCTTACTTCACGGGGTGGCTGATACTAATTTTGAATAGTCAGCCTATGATCGCGAAGTGTCAGGTCGAAGTCGTCTCCGGGGACGAACAGGAGTTGTTTGATGTCGTCTTCGGTGTCAACGTCAACGTCAACGTCAACGATGCCCCCGGACTTCAAGTTCCATCATAACCCCAGACTGCAGCCTTCCAGGATGCTTCGCAGGTTCTTCAAACTCTGCAGCCTCCAAAACCCAAGCTGGGGGACTTAGTAATGCCGTCTATGATGGTTTCGCCTTCACGTCGCGTTGGGCAACAATCGCATCATGCAACCAGAATCTTTAGACCAATCATTACCAGAATAAAGCAACCGGTCTAGTAGTCATCACTTATCTTTTTCCTACCCAAGTTAGAATAGCTACCGGGCTGCTAATTGGGATAAGCGTTGCAGGTTTGATCGCCAGTTCGTAATTGACTTTATGGCTCTCCCGCGGATGTCTGGGTATCCGCGAGGAAACTACCGAAACGTTAGTTACTCCGTCATCTCATTCTCAACGAACCTGACAGAAACAACAAAGCTAACTAACCATGCTTACGGAGTTTCAACTCTCTTTGGCTCTAAACTTGCACCCATCAACATGATCCGCGTCACAGCGACGCTCAAAACCCCACCGCCGCATCCCCAATCGGGTGTCCCGCGCGTGTACACCGCCAGAACGGCCACTCGGCATCGTCATCGTCTTCCTCTCGCCAGGGGCAATTACCCGGAACACTGCAGTGCGTGGCGGCTGCTTGTCGCAGGATAAACCCGACGCAGACCGCGATTGATCGTCCGATGAAGAGCCTTTCTGACAGGACGGATGGTGGACTCGGAGACTTGTCAACGTCGACCGCTTCTTATTCTCACGTGCGCCACCCACCCATCCACCCACCCACGGGCCCTATCCTGGCCTATCCAGGAACCCGAATGCCGGAGCTAGAAGTACCGGGTCAGTTCCGCCCCCCACCTGGCAAGTTGCAAGTTGCAATGCACACCGTATTGTACAGTACCCGTTCGCCTTCCCTTTTGGTCTGCACGCTTGAGGTCCGCCGGCGGGAGGAGTCTCTCGCCTGATTCTGTTTCATGTCCGCTTGGGGCGGTGGTTGATTGGGGGTTGGGTCTCTTCGTCTGCGTTGTTCGCTCTTGATTTGTCGGCTGTGTCGGATGCCCACGAGGCACGGAGGGTTTTTGGGGCTGCTGCAGGTGTAGAATGATCACGGACTTTTGAACGGGTAGAGCGTGCGTGCATGCATGCATTCTAGCAAGTATAACCCGGGGAGGTAGTATGCAGGGCGAGCGCCGACTGATCGCCCTGCCTTCTAGTCTTTACGCGATTATCGCGAGAAGCGCTACTCGTGATGTTTAGTAGTGCTGGTGAGGTTAGGTAAGCATACAAGCATGCTGTCGAGCTTAACGAGAGGCAGCGAATCACTTGCTTGTTTCTACAATCTTGTACTCGTATAACTAGTCAAGCTATGATATCGATCTCTACAATAAGAAAGTGATATCAACAGGGCGCCGAATCAGCCCTACTACTTATCACTGCATTCGTCGAGGAAGCATTAAGTCCCTCTTCTACTCACTGTTCTGATGTCAATGTCGTGGACAAGATAAGAATGTCAGCATATAGCACCGTCCACATACATACCTACCTCCCTACCTTGCAAACACCCCCATGCGCCTTCGAACCTGAAACACCAACTCATCACTCGACGGAATTCCTCCTATTCGACCGAGCCCTACAAAACAGACCCTCTAGGGAACGCATGCATACTCACTTCGCGAAGATTTCTATCTACTGCCCGCTTTGGTACGGTACGGAGTCATAACCCTAGACACCTCAGACCCAAACAGCTTAGCTAGCTATCGCACTTCACAGCACAGTAGACAGACAGGTTTACTGTACTGTGGAACGCCGTCTACACCCGTGCATTCTATTGATAAATCAATCCGCCAGATTTCACCCCTACGGCACTGTAAATTGAAGTTCTATTAAGGGATACTATGGGGAAAGAATACAGTACAATGTAGAAAAGAAGCACAATATCATATCAAACATACCTTCTCCTCGGCAATCTGGTATCTGGCATACATACTGTACGACGCTGCCGTCTGCAGCTCTATGCAGGATGCACTAGATTGGAGGTAGAAACGGGTATCGCGTTTACGGCTTTTTCTATTCAATTGTAGGGATTTATGTGTTTTATCTGGTTTATGTGGATATCTGGGTGGGATCGTTTGGGTTGGGTTATTCACGGAGACAGTTCGTAAGAGTTCTTTGGGTTCTGCTGTGATGCTCTATGCTTTGTTTGGGCTATGTACTGTACATATGGAGATGGTGGATGGTGATGTTGGTGTTGGAGTTGGGATTTTGTGGTGGGGGATGGGTTCTATTTTGCTGGGCAGGTAGTTTGTTTCTTGGTTTTTTGTTTCGCTTGGTTTAGGTGGTTTTTGATTATAGTAGTGATTGTAGTAGTCGCAATGGTGGGAGTAGAAAAAGGTGTGGTACTTTTAGTGGTAGAAGCCAAGTGGTATCTACCCTAGCAGCAGCTCTACTTCTAACTACATCTATACACCCCTCCCAGCCTTACCCCTCCATCTACAACTACCTCGTTCAGAATAGTATACTTAGCATATTCTATGGATGTATCGTCCAGTTCGAGGAAATAGCTATACAATCACTCAGACACCAACTAGATAGAACCAAGTACACCCAAGCAGACACCCTCATACCCTTCTACCTCCTAACCCCATCTATTGTACTACCAGGATGCAATGCAGGATGTACTAACTACTGTACTGTACATGCACAACATAATCCAATCTACCCCAATCTCATCCCATCCCAAATCATCCATCCTAGCTCAGCTCAGTTCAGCTCATCTCACCACCAGAGAACGAATCCTGCCTCGCTACCTACCTACTTACCTATCGACCTACCTATTAAGATGAAGATAAGGATGAGTTTCAACCCAACCTAGAGCAAACCAAACCAAACCACACCAAACAAAGCGGGAACCATAACCGCCTCACTCGTGGCTCTCTCGCGGTGCAGAAGTCGGTCTATTAGGTCTGGAACTTGGTGCACGGGCTTGGATTTGGGTCTTGGTCTTGGGTCTTGGGTGAGGGTTTGATTTAGTGGTGGAGGATCCGAGGGGTTTGAGCGGTATGAGCTGGGAATTATGATGAGGGATACCTAGGGTGAGCGTGAACATGGGATACTGTAGGATAAGCATGAGCGTAGGATAGAGTCAGGTAGGGTAGGGTAAGGGTACGGTGGTTGATCATAGGATGCATGAGGCGATAGGCTCCCCTGCTGAGGGGCAGGGTCTGGGATGGGGGAGGCAGGCGCTGATTGATGCCTTACTGGGGTTTCTACTTCTGCTTGGTTTGATGTGGTTTTGTTTGGCTTGAAGGCTGGGTTTACTTCTTCTTCTGTATAAGTTGGGGTTTTTGGGTTGGTTGTTTATGGATGTGGTCCTGTAGACGTAGTGTCGATGGTACGAATGAGATTAAAGTGTTGAAGGGGATTCTACTACTGTAGGATACTCTAGTACTGTAGGATACTCTAGTAATCTAGGGAACTCTAGTACTGTAGGGGATTCTAGTACAGTAGCAGATCCAAGTATTGTAGGGACTTCCAAGGAACTCATACTAATGACATAATCAGTAAAAGCAATGACCGTGATAAGCTCGCTTTCTTCATTCATCTCGTGGTCCTGCCACTGACCTCCTTTCCTTCCTGTGCCTCTGCCTAAGCTCGCGGCTGAACCGGATTTCGTATGCTCAACCTGACTCGGCGTGCACGCAACTGCATCTGATATGTCCGGCCTCGACTCTGCATCAGCATCTGGCTGTCCCACGCGTGTCAGTAAGTGGACAGGCTGTGGCAACAGGCCGCGCTAAACCCAAGCGGGACGGAGGGGTCTGGATCACTGGGTCTCAGTCAACGGGCCGGCCCTAACGGTACCAGCGATAGATTGTTTACTCTCTCTCTCTCTCTCTCTCTCTCTCTCTCTCTCTACTCGGTCTGTCTACTACATGTATAGTACAATACGTTGAAGTCCTAGACAGTCCGCGATATCGTCATCCTGACTTACCCGTAGACAATGGCCCAAGGAAATCGCCTCAATCATTCCAACCTCCATGTCACACCGTCCCTGGATTGATTGGCCTTGCTCACCCGAACTCACCACTTACTTACCGTATTGTATGACATCCCGTCCGCGGGTCTGTTCATCTGATCGATGCGCAACAGTTACCGGCCGGTCGCGCTTCCACCATACTCAGCTGGGTATCGCTTCGCCCGTACGGATAGTATCGTCCTTGTTACCGGGGAATAAACCGAATCGTCCTAGAGTCCAGTATCCCAGGGGCCGATCATGGGATGATGATGATGACAAAGGGTGGATGGGATGCACCTTGACTGAGAACTGCGCACGGACGATAACTGGTTTTCGGGCAGCATCGCCATCTTCATCGAGGCTACCACTACAGATACTCACAGCCAAGAGAAGAGCGCTGCTACCCACGGCCCCTCTTCCTCCTCCTCCTCATCCTCTGCGACCGTCTTCTGCTAACGTAACTTGGTGGTTCCCCCTCCCTCCCGCCCGTTCAGGTACTGTACCTGGTGTCTTGAAACCCCCAGCTACTGAAGCCAGGTACCAATCATTTGGCGATGGATGTGATGAGACGTTTGTGAAGAGCAACAGCGAGAGGAACGAACCTATGGCACCTGCTTGTCAGCCTGCCTGCCGCGAGTTTCGGGCTGCCACCACCTGGGATGGATGGTTGAAGCGTATCTCAGGAGGGGGTCGTGGGAGCGTAATCGATAGGCTATCGATAACCGGTTTGGAAGGGAGCCCCACTCTGATCCACTGTCTGGGTTCTGAACTGCTTCTGATACCGACCACCCGGCACGCCTCTTCAATCCTTCCTGGCTTCATCACTTGCACACTGGCTTACGGAGTCGGCTTGACGGCTTTGACCAGGCCAAAGAAGGCAACGAGGGCTACCATGTCAATTGCAGTTGAGAGGGTGGAATGACCGATAATAGAGAACCCGCCATCACCCGTCGCGATGTGGGACTCTGTCTCGCTCTCTTCCGTTGTGCACATTAGGTTAGCTTTGGCGGTTAGGGTTGATCGAGCAGGGTGAAATTGATTCATGTCGTTATCTATCCATCGGACCTCTCTTGCGTCGCTCGTTCATGTCGAAGCGTTGCCTGCACGATACTGGTGTGATGTGCATCCGGAGAGCTTATTGCACATACTGTGAGTACCCAAGCAGCAGTTTATTCAAGTGCGTGTGTGTGTGTGTGTATGCCAGTGTGCACTGTGCACCGTGCATCCGGAGTCGACCGACAGAGTAAGTAGGCTACTCCGTCGTTGTCAAAAGTACCATCCGCCAGACTAGGGCGATCGGGGCCGAACGGACGACGAACGGTTTGAGAATGATGGGGAGGGACCGTGAGGAGGGATCACGGGCCAGCTTTGGGTCTCTCCGTTTCGGCAATCGTGAGAGGATACAGTACTCACTGTAGTAGTAGTTAACTGTATGTCAGTCAGTCAGTCAGTTAGTCAAGTAGGCAAGGCAGGTAAGAAGCGCCGCGGCCCATGGGTGCACGAGAAGCGTCATGATCATTATTCGTCCCTTGACCTTGGACTGATTATTCATCCAGCGTTGATTTATTCTTCTTTTCTTTTCTTTTTTTCCTTTTTGTCTGTTCACCTTTTGGCGATTTTCCCTTTGCTCTCCCCCTGCCAGCTGCACGTCTGCCCAACGAAGCATCCAATGATCGCCTCTCGTTAATCTCGGGAACAGTCAGAAATCCTCGCCTCGTCTTTTGACTTTTCCGCTGACCGCCGGATGGCGTCTGCTTTTTGGCTCTTCTTTTCTGCTGAGGGGAGCAGTTCATGGGTTTGGGTTTGGCGTGCTGGAGGGTCTGGCTAGTTCCAATCAAGGTAGGGTTGATGGAGTCTCCGAAGAAGAGTGGAAGCTGTGGGTTTTGTTGAAGTGAGATCGAGGTTCGACGGGCCCCATAGTTAGGAGGAGCAGTATAGTGAGTGGAGTGCTTTTTTGGGAAGTGTCATTTCTTGTTCCTGTTGTTGGTGTTGTTGTTGGTTGGATAATTCTCTCTTTCTCTTTGAATGTATTTTTTTTTTTTTTCAAATGGTCTATTCTACTGTAGCTCGAGGTTAACCTGTGGGTTTTCTTGGGTCAGCATCAAGTCCTCATGAATCTCCTAATTCAATCATTTGGGTGGGAATTTACTCGCCTTTGTTTTAGATTTGGGAGTCTAAATCTAATTTAGTACGATTTGGATGCTTTTCCACTTCGCTTGGTAGACAGATACCCAGAATCAATTCAGGGACCGACTTCAGGTTCCTATCAATGATTTACTGACTGCTATAGATACTTATATGTATGGACTCGTTTCCCCTCCCGCTGGTCACTTGTTCTCTTCCTCTTTCATCATCTTCATCAACATCTTATTGATTATCAACGATAACTACATCTACAACAACTCCCTCCTCCTCTTACACTCATACCCATATCTTTCTCCCCTCAACTTGATATACTTACTCCTCTTCCTCCTCCCTGCATCCACTTTTGGCCTCCTCCGCGCCTACAACTACCAATCCTCTTCCTCCATTACTCGCGCATTCTAAATACTCCTTTCCTCCTCCTCTTCCCGTCGAGACGCCTCGAGAATCCTTTTCTTCTCTTCGTCTCTCCTGCCTTAATTCCTACTTTTCAATCTCATATTTATCCTTTCTGGAGATTGAGACTCGTTGCCTTTTGATCGCCAACCACCCATTCAAACCCCGCACCTCTTTTTTTCGACCGATCTTTTTTTACACACCGCCTCTTGCTGTCTCTCTAATTACCACGACAGCTTTCCCTTGGGCGACGACCTCAAGGCTTTCTTCTTCTTCTCTCCCCCCCCCATTTCTTCTCACATCACATTCACATTATCCACATCATGGCAAGATATTCTCAACCGTCATTTGACTTCTATCAACAATCTCCTACCACCTTGGACGCCAAACCTGCATTTCCTGAAGAGGATGAGATGAGTGTATTAGATGATAAGATCCTGGATTCTACTTCACCCGATATGTCTTCCTCAGCTGCCGACCACCGCCGACCTTCTTCGTATGATCATGCACCCGATGCATACACGCATCGAGATTCCGTCTGGTCCGACTTCTCCCATTCTGTCTCCAGCAATCAGTCCCGCCACAACTCCCAAGTCGGCCATCCGTTCTTTGAAACCGCCCCTAATCCTTTTATGCGCGTCGATGGCGCTCACCCGTCCGCAGCATACGCCCAGCAGGCCTCGTGGTCCCTGTCCAAGGACTCGGGCGCATGCACTCCTACCGCCATGTACGAGCACTTCCCTTCCGAGCTGGACCACAGCGCCTCGGCGCCTTTCGCCGGCGGCGCCGTCGGCCCCGTCAGCACCATCAGCATCCCCTCCATGTCTTACCGTCCCGGCATGGCCTTCGCGCACCCTGCAGCCGTGGCCATGTCCCCGCAGTCGAGTCAGGGTTGGATGCCGGCCGCCACAGACATGGCCGATGCTGTGGCACGTCCGACCAAGAGTCCCACCTACCGCAACAGCTCGCCCTTGAGCATGCGCCGGGACGGCATCCGCAAGAAGAACGCTCGCTTCGAGATTCCTGCCGAGCGGACGCTGAGCAACATCGACCAGCTAATCAGCCAATCCACCAATGAGGAGGAGATCAAGGAATTGAAGCAGCAGAAGCGCCTGTTGCGGAATCGTCAGGCTGCGTAAGTGCCGCCATAACATCCCCTCCCATGCGTGATGATATCACTAACAGATACTCTAGTCTGGACTCCCGCCAGCGCAAGAAGCTCCACACTGAGAAGTTGGAAGAGGAGAAGAAGCAGTACACGCAGATCATCAGCGATCTCGAGGAGGAGCTGCAGAGCATGCGCCTCCGGGAGGCGGAGCTCCTTCGCGAGAAGAACGAATGGATGTCCGCCCAGCAGGAGATCACTCAGTACATCAACACCATGCACATGGACAAGGATGAGCTGATCCGCGTGCACACACTGGAGACGGCCGAGCTTCGTAAGAAGAACAACATCCTCAAGGAGACCGTGGAGAAGCTTGAGCGTCACGCCAGACCCACCGCCCCCTCGAATCTGCCCTCTGAATTCTCCGACTTTGAGAACCTGACCATGGACAGCAGTCCCTGGGAGGACTTTACGATGGTCAACAGCCTCTCTTTGGATGCCGAGGCCGTGGCCCCTCCCAGTGCACAGCCCACCTCGATGGTTATCGCCTCGAACGAGAAGGACAAGTCGGCGACCAGCGACTATCCGTTCAGCTGGAACGCGTTCTACATGTGCCTGCTCTTCGGGGCCTTTGTGGCCTCGAACGGCTCTTCGCTTTCCGCTCGCTCCATTCCTCAGCTGTCCGAGGAGTACCGCGCGGAATCGGCCAACGTGCTGAAGGCCGTGCTATCTTCCTCCCCTCCAGAGCTTGCCCAGCCGATGGGCCAGGCGGCTGTCGCCTCCTCGTCGGCCGCTGCCGTCATGCCCAACACCATCACTGGCGCCCAGATGGCCCAGATGACTGGCACGGCGGCCCCATCCAATCTGGATGAGCTCCACAGCACGCTGGTTATGCCCACCAAGCAGCAGGAGCAAGAGCAGGTCTTCGCTCTCAACGTGGACCAGTACAACTCCCTGACGACTTATGATGATGCTGGTGTTGAATACAAGCAACAGCAGCCATCGAATCTCCAGCAAGCGCTGGCTGCCATGAGAGGCAGCGTCCAGAGTAAGGTGTCGACCAAGGCCACCTCCGATGTCTACTCCCGGTCTCTGATGTGGGACCGGGTGCCTGAAAAGGTGATCCGGGATTTCCGCCGCATGGTCCAGGAGTGCGGCGTCCCTCCGGTCAAGGAGGAAGACGCCAGTTTCGGCCACCAGTAAAAATGGTATGATCAAGGTTTGGTGTTTGTTCATCGAACCGTGTCGTTCACCCACCTCAGCCTTTTGTCTCGTTCCTTTTCTGCGTCCATGCCCCACCAGGGCGACCTGACTGAGTTCTGCTGCCTCCATCCCTTCGCTTCTCCAACCTCCGAGTCTTCTGGGAAGACCTTTCACTCCTCTTTGGGCACCGTGACAACGGACCCCTTTTTTAACGACCCTACGACTGCATGGCCACCTTTAGCCAGAGATGATTTAGCCCCATATATACATAGACAGCTTGACTCAACTTGACCCAATTACTTCATTTCGACTGGATATATCTGCCGGCTAAGCAATTACCTCCTTGATGAATCTCGTCTGCCAAATTAGCGATGATGTTTTTTATTTTCTGCGCGCAGCATTCTCTCTCTCCTTCGGCTTCACGGCGTATATGTGATCAGACTTTCCCTCCCACGACGAGGGGCAATCCAGGCTTCGGGCTTTATCTTGCATTCGTGTACATTCTTCCAACCAACTTACGAGACTGACTTACCTACTTTGAACATTCGCTTGCATTGGAACCTTTTCTCCAAGGTCGGTGGTGGCAGCCTACCTTGGAAATTCGTGCGCACACAAACACAGCGAAATGCAGAGGACCTCTACTGCATTTCACCCCACAAACACAAACAAACGGTTACAACGGAACAACGGGACGGTAGCATATCTCATTTTAACACTTTCTTGATGGTTCTTGTTTCATACTTCCGGGTTTTCTATTTTTATTGCATCGCGAGGATACGGGCTTGGCTGGCAGCCAGGGCGGCACTTGTGTTATGATTGTTTATGGTATATGTTACGATACGACTGCGATTTGATGTTTTTCATGTTTTATGTTGATGTTTACGACCGGGATGGTGTCTAATGTTTATGATGACGATGATGACTGTGTTTCTTTTCTTTGGGGCTGTCCTGAGTCCTGGGTATACCTCACCAGGACGTTCGTTCCCCTTCTCTCACTTGCAATTTCCTTTGTCAGACAGATTTTATCACGAGACCAGTTTGCTGGTCTGTACAGATGACTGGGGCACCTGGATCGTTGCGAAGCTAGCTAGCTCGCTACCTGACGACCGACTGCAGCGGTTAGTGGGTAGTATAGTTAGTAGTGGCAGTGACGGTTTACTTCAGGGTCATTCCCGTCCGTTCATTCATCTCGAGAATCTCATCTCTTTTGTTTTAATGCTCATCTGTGCATATTGGTGAGGTGCTTTGTATATAAATCTGATCTGACTGAACGTAAAAGGAAGTGAAGTGCATTGAACGGGAAGATGGTCGATCTATCTTGTGTTTGCTAGTTGTAGCTGCTGTCTGGTTTCTTGCATATTTAGTGCGCATGCGGTATTGCTTACTATATATGCATTCACAAGTATTTTACTTCGGTGATAGTGCCAGCTCGGTGGTTGATTACATTAATGCAACAGACTGACAGAGCCCATGACCCTATACCTCGAGCTCAATCTTCGCAACATCAGGACCCCACTCAGACCAAGCCTGTCCATCATTAACGCACGGGCACAAGCTTGGGGAAGATTTTCTTCAATACTCGTCGCCAGGCCGGCATTGGAATGGAATCAGCAGCGCCTCATTCCAACTTATCCTGGTCCGTACTCTTGCCCAAGTAGAGCCGGAGCGGGGTTCTACTCGGTTCGTGGAGGTGTATAAGGCCAGGTACGGGGTTTTCTTTGGCTGATAATGGTAATGGTCATGGTGAAAGGGTGAGGGAGGTGAGGTTCTGGATAGGGCGAAGGGGAGAGAAGGAATTTTTTTATTTAGCCAAGTTCAGATTATTATCAAGCACTTAGGCTAGTTACTGAGATACTACCTCTACATACCTATGGTACATACATACCTGGAGTTACGGCTTTGGACTCGGTTCGGGAGAATGTATGTACTGTACTGTACCCGACCCTGTTAAGCAGGAATAGTCAAAGATTGAATACAGGTATTCAGTCTCTAGAGGGGGCAACAGCAGTTATCTAATAAGGAAAGAACCGATGGTCTATCTGTTTTGATCGATGAAGGCTATATATCGTATTTTGCCTATGGGCAGGAATCGGCAGGAGGTGGACCACTCGCTGTGAAAAACGTTGCCTCCCATCTCAGATGAAGATAAAACAGAGCTCCATTTTGCATTATTGCTATCAAGTGCATGCCCAGCATAAGTCGAAGCATGTAAGCAAGTTCCACATGATAGAAGACTTAGGGTTTTTAGGGCCGGGGCTACCTTAGTCTGATGACATCCGCTGCCCCTGGACCTGCCTGCCCTCTGTCAACATCAGTTACTTGACGTCCTCACCAACAGATTAGCAACAGAGATCACATCTTACATAAACAGAACAACCACCAGCCGCCAGACCCAAAATGTCAACAACCACCCCGACAACGAACCCTTCTACGACATCCTAATGCGCTCGCCCATACATACAAAGAGAAACGCATGCTCGCCCAACCCGACCAAAAACGCTAGGCCTCGCCGCAGGCCGGCGGAATTCGCCGACGGGAACAGGAAAATTCTTACCCGCTCCCTTGTTCCTCGTTGACAACAGCGCCCCCCACAGACTCCAAAATCCGGGGCGACTCCGTTACGATAATCGCGGTGTATGTACTGTACATGCACGAGACGTATCCGTAGAACTGGATTTCCGGAGACCAGCCAGCCGGCAATACACCCGGCAATGTTGGTTTGTTCGGGATCCGGCGGGTTCCCCGTTTCTCCTTGGGGATAAATCCTTGCTGCTATGTGGATTTCATTGTTGGCGGTTGGTTGAGGATCATGTTTAGTGTTTGCTTGCATGCCGCGGGAGGAGTGGGAGGTGGTGAGGGGGTGGCATGGTGGTGTTTTTGGGATGTTGTTTGATGGGTTGAGGGAATTTTTATATGATCAAGTAGAGGGGGGTGTCTTTCTCGGGTTCAACAGTGTGAACCGTATGAACCGAACCGTCTATCTATATAATTGCATTTCTATATTAAAGCTACTACTACTGAACCTGATTAGATCATTGTAATTGTCCATGTCCTAAAGTATGGTAATCACTGCAGTGCGGTGGCGGAAAGCACCGGATCTATAGAAAGCGTATCCTGAAGCTTCATGGACCTCATTAGCACGCTAGAACTTCATCGCTCTAGGCCTTCCAGAATAGTCAAACCTTCTGCAGTTAGTAGCTAGCTGTCTCGTAGAACGCTTCCACTTTCGAAGCTACTTTTCATTAGAAGCGCGAAATTCCTGTGGTCTTTCTTCGCGCGCAAGAACAAGCTTATTAAGATATAAATCCATGGCCCTTGATCTGCTTGTCCATGCGCGTTTCTAGCGACGAAGATGAAGGACTCTGCGTACGCGTCCCTAAGCGGTTTCTCTACTGCAGATGCCTGCTTCGATAGCTGCCTTGCAGTATAAGGTGCTTTGGGTGCTATGAATGGGGATCATCCCAGCGTACAGCATATGTTGAGTGGTGGCTTTGGTTTGAATCGGTTAGTGTGGAGTACCGATGGCGCGCGATTTCGTCGACCGAAAGGCCTACTTGGCCGCGGCAAGTCCTCAGGTCACTTCCAGCCCGCAGATCTCCTAGCAGCACTGTTAGCGGGAGATGCGCTGCTGCACCTGTCAGAGAGACACAGAGCATACCTGTCGACGCTGGGCAAAGTCCTGGTAGAAGCCTAGCCAGAGATCCCGCGAGCGGCAATCCGACGGCACCTCTGTCTCAGTATCGTTGTCACAAGCCGGTTGCTCGCGCTGGATCACAGCATCCGGGGTCTTCAGCCATGGCTACAGCCACACGGTCAGTCGTGCCGGGGAAAGTGTCTGGAGACTCCTCCTGCCCGGCAGTCGCCAGAGGATTAGAATGAGGAGAATGGAACAGAAAAGGAGGGCCGGAATCCGGGATAAAGGCAACATGGTGCAACACGCAGAACTACCCGATATAAGTTTGTACACGACAAATTTTATGCTCTTTTTCTATGTACAAGTACTGTGAAGATGTAGAGGGGCGTCAGAGGGGAAAGAGAAACTGTTTGCATAAAGAGTGCCCCCCCCCCCAATTGTGTCAAAAACTGGTAGCATTGGAGACATGACAGCTGAGACTCCCCGACTCCCATTCTTCTTATCCTACACGTTTCTCGGGCTGGGATCGCCGGCGCCATGGTACGAAGGTCGAAGGACAAGCGGTCAATGCTACTAAGACAGCGCGGGAAAAGAGGACGAGTGATGTGGATTAGGTTCAGCAGCGTCGGTCAAAAGCCTGGGGCCGGGTATGTAGCTGCGAGGCTTGCTGAGTCTTTGGAGATAGTACCATGACAATGGAGATGACAGATCTCAAGTGACGACTGTTCGGATGGATATGCGTGAGTGAAAGCAAGCCATGCGAGGGAGATGCGCCTCTCCCTTCTCTGTTGGGACCTAAACCTGTCAAACGGTAGTTTATTGGGCCTTTTGTTCTACCCAGAATCAATCCAGCACTATTTTCACTCAAGGAAGCCCCTGGGCTTGAGCCGATAGAAGAGTTGATGCGGATGGATTATACCTTTGGTTAGAGCAAGAACTTTCAATAAAGAAACGTCTGGCAAGCGGTTTCACCATAACATCAAACAGCTAGTTCTGAACAGGCAGCAAAGGCAGCTGGTTTCGGACGGTGACATCAGCCTCAGGGTTAAATGCCAGAAAGACAAAAGGTTCGAACCAAGAATGATGCAGCTGCCTTTCTTTCTTTGTACCGGACATACCGGGCGGGAAAGGAAGTCTCCCCTTTCTCATATCGACTTGGTAACGACGGTGTTCGTTTTAATCGCGAAACTCGGGGGTTATACCCTCTGTGTGCTGTTGAGGTAGGCACTCTGCCCATGATTAAGTTCGATTAGGGCAGCTGATGAGTCGATAACCTTTATTCAGGGGGTTGCACGTTTCATTGTCACTTGGCCAGTCAGGCCAACTGCAATGGAACCTTAAACATTTGGATGCTTGGGAGGAAGACCGGTTGGCAGGAAGAGGCCCATTCGTTTTCTTTGCCTGATCATAATCATGGGTAGGAGAGGATAGGTATCAGATAGTCCAGAGAAAACTTTAGATGGTCGTTCGAACATCTACAAAAGTGTATCCGCAAGACAACTCCGTAGTCTTCCTTCCCTTGATATGGTTGGGGCGGTAAGCTCCGGCACTATACAGTACTAAATCACTGACTGATCTATATTCATGGGTTGGGTACGTCGTGCACTACCATTTCCAGCCCTCGTCATCTGACAGCAAGCGTAGGTACTGAGGTAGAGTTTATGCGTGCATACGCTGCTTTTTGCTACAGTCGATTGTTTGTGGAGAGGAGATGTGGAGATGTTGGTGCGTATATGTGTGTAAGGCGTGCAGACATGCATATCTTGGTTGCTTCTTGCTTACTTACCTTGCTGGCTGCTTGCAAGGGTATGTCTGTACAGTGTGTAATTGTGTGTGATGAATAAGATGCGTGCTAGTATCTGCAGAACCTTCTACGTCGTAGTATCCATGTCCGTTGATGACGCCCTACGAAAGCAGATTAGACTACGGTAGCTTTAGAGGATTACGGGCAGTATGCTGCCACAGCAGGAATTCAGGCTCTGCAAATTAAAGATGAGGCTGACGCAATCTGATTATGGATTGCATTGGGTTGGGTATTATCTGCGGTTCTAGACTGTGGGACTATCGCTTGTAGTGCCCGGTGGGAACAGAGAAAAGAATGTACATGAGGAGGGGCCGTGGGTCTTTGGGCGTATATGCGATAGCACAGATGAGCGAGGGAGAGAAGGTCTGTGTGCCTCTGATGTCGACATGTGGGGTGAGGTGAGATGGGATAGATGGTGGGAGTTCCTTTGCTGCTCTACTCCAAGTAGAACCTGTGTCAGCCTTGTTACTGGGTCCATTGTTCAGCTGCAACCCTCCAAGACTTGACGGCCAGTCAGATCTGGAGACCGGCCCAGACATAGACAGTAGACTGTTCACGATAACAGAGTCTTGAACAATATCCCCCTAGGTTTGGTCATCGCGAGTTGTACTTGTCCTTCCAGATCCTGTCACAGCGAGAAAACGTCATGTCAGCCTGAGAGGTTCGAGAAGAGGGGGTGGGGATCCGGGCTGGTGGTTGGCTGGAAGTGTGCCGGCGGTTTGCATGGCGCATTTCACCAACGACTGCACGAGCGCCTATCAATCACCGCTGCAAATGATGGGCTGAGGTTACCCCATTGGAGACGCGCGCCGACGCACATCGATCCAGCTCGACAGGAAAAAGGAAATTGGCTCAGGTAAGGTACCTACCAGGAATTGCCGATTATTTTGCTGCCCTTTTCCTCCGCCAATCGATAGTATTTGGCGGCCACGAACTATGTCCCCAAATTAGTCGATAAGGATAGTAAGAAATCGGAAGTCTAAGGAGTGATGCGAACGAGCCTCACAAGTTTGATGCCCGAGCTGAAAGACTCCCAGGGGGTCGAGAAACTTACTTTGTCCTTCTTCCCTCCAAACCCTTCTAGGTAGCACCAAGCAACCTCGTTCATGGCGTCCGTATCGCCGAGATTGGCGGCTGTCTCGTAGTACTGGCGTGCTGCGACGGGGTCTTTCTTGACGCCCCAGCCGTTGCGGAAGCAGTTGGCAAGCTCGAAGATCGCCAGAGTAAGCTCGCCCTTGGCAGAACCCCCCTTCTTGATACCGGCCTGGAGCGCCTCGGACTCGATCGAAGCGGAGTTGGCCGCGGCCGCCGACAAATACGTAACGGCCTTGTCCTGATCTGGCGCGCATCCCCAACCATGTCTAACAGTGAGCATGGCGTCAGTATGGTGTGCCACAATCCAAGGACACAATCCAAGGATGCAAAATCACAAGGCGACAGTCTGCTCTTACCGAAGTGCAAGCCCATAGAGCACTTGGCTGAGGGCATTGTTGGCCCCTTCCGGGTCTGCTAAGCGGCCGAACATCTTCGTCGATTGCTCCAGATCTGCCATGAATTAGCGATGAACCCAACTGCAACCGACCCTTATGACAAGGACATCCATACCTCCAGCCTCATGAAGCCGAATGGCCTCCTGGATGTTGACCTATTCCGTCTATCAGCCACAAACCCACCACCCTTCGAGCTCCCCTTCCACTTACGTCTCCCTCCGGATCATTAATTCGACTCTGGCTCGAGCTTCGCGAGCGCGAAGCCGCCCCGTCCAGCCCGAAGCCCGTCGAGGTGGTAGTCGGCGACAAGCACGCAGCGAACTGCGGATTCCGCTGCACCAGCACGGTGGCCCGGCGCTCCCATTCCGCCTCTCTGTCCTGCGCATCGCCCTTATCGGTGGTGATCCGCGGGAGGTCGGCGGGGACGTTGACGGACGACGAGCTCGAACTCCGCGACCCGCCGCGATCGAGATGCAGCAGATGCGACAGCCGGCCTTCGCTGCGCGCCCGAGGCGGCGACGTGACCGTGACCCCGGACGACTGCGAGGGCGCCCTCGACCGGCGAAACGGGTTCAGTGATTTCCGATGATGTGAGGGCGGGGAGACGGGCGAGAGCTGCGCTGCTGTCGTGTCGGTGGGCTCGGGGGCGTCGCCATCGAAGACCGGCGGCCGGAACACCTCTTGTGTCGTGGTGTCTGTGCGGATGAACGTAAATTCGGGGACCGTCGTGTTGTTCACGGGCGTTGTAGGTGCTGCTGCTGCTGCTCCCTCTGAGGCCCCATACTGGCTCGTCGTGGCTGTAGTCGTGTTGAGCAGTTTCTTATTATGGCGTTGGAGCCTGTCGCGAAGTGGCATTGTTGCGCAATGCGACGGGGTCGAAGTAGACGGGCTTATCGCGAGAGGGGTGTGGAGACTTTCTTTCGGGTCTGGCTTCCTTTGAACAAGGTGGTGGGGATGAAAGTGAAAGAAGAAAAATAACGTAGCAGGCACGATGAGGATGGATGAAAAGGAAAGCTGTGATGTAGTAAGTCGAGGTGAAAGAAGTCAGATCAATCAATCAATCAATCAATCACTTTGGTCACTTCGATCGATCAACCCCCAGCCTCTCTTACTTCGGTCGGGGCGCGCGGGCAGGCATAATAAGAAGAGGAATAAGAATAAGCGCTGGCCAGGATCGTCGAGGCTGTGTGCGTGTTTTGCAGTGCTCAGGAAACTCTGTTGCACAACCTCTCAATAAATAATAAAAATAATAACAACTTGGGGTTATAAGGGGACTTTATCCACGCTCAAACCATGGTTGGACCATTTAAACTGCCTGTCGGCTTGGCGGCAATTTCTTCATCGCTTTAATTGCTTTTGTCGCATATTAACCGGCGAGGGGACGCTTTGGCGGTTGGGACGTTGATTGTACGCGGCGTCTTAACCACAACTTCCCCCCCCCTTATTTGTTCGTTGATTATTAGTTCATAGACTTCGTCGGTAGATTCAGCGACAGTTTCAATCGTTCAGGTAATGTTCCTCGGATAGCTCGGAAGTCCGTAGCTCTTGATCTTTCATATGTGAGAGGAATAGGCCCAGTCATGCAATAGCAGGGAGAGCTCAGACTAGACAGGATCATGGCGTGGAAATTACAATATATATGCCTACATCCCATCATCCCACCCCTGTCAACTGCACTCGGCTTGGCTAAGAATATTGGAGACATAGTTCAAAGGCTTGATTCGAAGGCTTAACTTCAAATACCATGATTGTCGACCAGAATGGTACTTGGTATTCTAACTGACAACAGAAATGATCTTTAATTTGTACATGATACTTATAGCGAAGCTATCCATGCAGAATTCGTTTACTGGGCCTTGGAGGACATGATGCCTAAGTCCAGAGTTAGTGCATGAGCATGGCAAACCGTGAGGGCGTGGAACTTACGCTCAACATCAGCAACGCTCTGCTGGAGGATCTGCTGGAGAACCTTGGGGTTCTCGAGCTCCTTGTGGATCTTGCCGATGACGCTGTCAGCAAGCTCGCGCTGCTGGCGCTGCTTGACCTGACCCTCGTAGCGGACCCACGAGTCGAGGACCTGCTTGGCCTCGGTGGCCAGAGCGGTGCGCTGCTCGAGCTCGTAGGCCTTGGCCTCAAGCTGGGCGGTTTCCTACGTCATCGTTAGCAACATATCCCAGCAGGGCACCAAAGACTCGGGGTCGAGCGGGAGTGAAGAGAGATATATACCTTGGAAACAGCAAAGAGCTGCTTGGTGATCTCAACGACACCGGACAGCTCCTTGACGTTCTCCATACGCTGCTTGACAGCGTTGGTGTGGTCGGCACGGGCCTCGTTCAGGAGGTCCTTGTGCTTCTGGACCTGACCCTCAGCCCACTCGCGGTAAGCGGGACCACCGTACTTGAAGACGGCAGTGAAGACGCTGAGAAGACAGAACGCAGCAACGGTTTCCTCCGTCATGACATAGAGCTCGTTGCTGATGGCGGCGATCGACAGACCGGCGGCGGCGGAAAGGGTGGCAGTCTTGGAGACCAGGGAGTTGCCGGGCAGAGCATCGATGATCGACTGAGCCTTCTTCTTGGGGTCCTCGGTGGGCACGTTGGACGCCGAACGGGACGCGGTCAAAGTGGCAGTGATGGGAGCGACATTGCGCGTAGGAAGGGTCGGCCGCAACCGGGCGGCACCTAGAGGAGGTTAATGACCATTATCAGGTGATAGACGAGGTCGAGAAGGTCCAGGTGCGGCATACCGAGGGTGCTCTTAGCCAAACGCGAAGCCATTGTAGCGATGGACAGACCTTGACAGGATGTGATGGGTGAACGGAAATGAGGAGACTGAGGTCGGGATGGCGGTTTGGGCGGTGCGGAAGACACTAGCCGCTTCGGGTCTGGCGCCCTGGGCGGAAAAACCACTAACCGAGGGATCTCCAAAAATTCATGGTTGATTTCGGAAGAAAAGTGCCTGCGGTGGACCAGCGCTCCTCGATTTACGCCGGGTTTGCGATTTTATTCAAGATGCCTGCACCAATCGCTGCGGCCACGGCCTCCAAGAAGAGAAAGAATGTCAAAGAGGGCGGCGTCCCCTCGTCGAAACGCCGTGCCGTCGCTGAGACTGAGGCCCCCGATGCGACAGCCGATATCCAACGGCTGGAAGACCAAATATCCGAATCGCGAAAGCACTACAACAACATAGCGACCCTGATTTCGATGCTCAACACGGATGGTTCCGCCAAAAAACCGAATGTGCCCGCCGCTTTGTCTCTGTGCCGGGTATTCAGCCGATTAATCGCGGGTGGGAATTTGACCGAGTCGAGCCGTGCGGCAGAGAACGAGAAGATCATCGTTGCTTGGTTGAAAGAGCGTCTCAAGGAGTACCAGAGATCTTTGCTCTCCATCATCCGAGAGAGTGATCCCTCTTCGCAGGTCTGTTCAGAATCAGGTATTTCAGCAGGGGCAGGAGTATACTGATGTTGTCGATTAGATCACCGCCCTAACCCTGTGCCTCTGCATCATCAACGAGCGCGCGACACATCTGCCGGGCGAAGAAGGAATCTGGGTGACGGGCCTGTTCAAGAACGTGGTGGAATCTGTCGTCGAAGCCAACAACGGCCAAGCGGTTCTCTCCGAGTTCATCGAGAAGGCCAAGGAGTTTGAGGATGTGCGCTACTACACCTTCATGCAAATCTCGTACGTTGAATTGAACCATCCAAGCCGACACCAACCTATCCAAAGCTAACGCCTGGCCAAGTGAATATGCAAACACCCGACGAAGCCCAGAAACCATCGACACGCTGATCTCCATCCTCTCCGCATGCGACTCGATACCCAAACCCGACCACGAGTTCGAGAGCTTCTACACGAAAACCAGCAAGGACAACAAGCGGGTAGTGTCGGTGAACTCGCACAAGAAGCGCGCGCAAGATGCATGGCTGGCGATCCTGAGCAACAACCTGACGCAAACGCAGCGCAAGCACCTGCTGCGGATCATGGTGCACAATATTGAGCCGTGGTTCAACCGGCCGGAGCTGCTGATGGACTTCCTGACGGACTCGTACAACGTGGGCGGGGCGACGTCGCTGCTGGCGCTGTCGGGGCTGTTCTACCTCATCCAGGAGAAAAACCTGGACTACCCGCAGTTCTACGCGAAGCTGTACTCGCTGCTGGACGCGGACCTGCTGCACTCGAAGCACCGGTCGCGGTTCTTCCGCCTGCTGAACACCTTCCTGGCCTCGACGCACTTGCCCGCCGCGCTCATCGCCAGCTTCCTCAAGCTCCTGGCCCGCCTGGCCCTCAACGCCCCGCCCGCCGCCATCGTCGCCATCGCCCCCTTCACCTACAACCTCCTCAAGGAGCACCCCACCTGCGCCTTCATGCTCCACCGGCCCCTCAGCGACGACGCCCGCGCCGCCATCCTTCACGCCCGCGGCATGGACGACCCCTACGACCCCGCCGAGCCCGACCCCCTCCGCTCCCGCGCCATCGAAAGCAGTCTCTGGGAGCTCGACACCCTGCAGTCCCACTACCACCCCAACGTCGCCGCCATCGTCCGCATCCTCGCTGAGCAGTTCACAAAGCAGTTCTACAACCTCGAGGACTTCCTCGACTACACCTATCAGGGCATGCTGCAGGCCGAGCTCGGCACAGAGGACAAGCCCTTTAAGCGCGTCCCCGTCGTCGAGTACCAGATCCCCCGCCGTATCTTCACCGATCGTCTGGTCGAGGAGGATGGCGGCCAGGACACCGCGCCCGGCAGTTTGCTCAGAGAGCTTTGGGACTTTGCATGATCGGATCGGGTATCGGCGTTGCGTGACTAAAAGCAATCTTAGACTTTTTACTTAGTGTACATAATTAGAGATATCTTTCAACATCTTTCCACAGTGGGCTTGATTCAAGGCTGTAGTACATTTGCCTGGGGCAAGGCGCATTTGGAGCTGTCTATTCTATCTAACCAACAACATAGCGATTTAACAAACATGGTTGTAAACGAGTGTGGTAATCGCCCTCCGGACCCGGGAGGAAACGCAATTGCGTGGAATATCAAGAAAGTCTATAGGTAGAAGGGTAACATCAAGCGGGAGAGTAGTGATATTGGCCGCGGTGGTAGTAGTATACTCCGGCATTCCGTCGCCTCTCGCCTTGCCTTGGGTGCGTCTCATGATGAACCGGCATTGACAACGACATCCAAGCGCCATTGGCCGCAGACCCTGACCTTGAACCGTGGTGGCCGTGTGCCGAGAGCGCCAACGTGCTCAGCGGTCGTCGGGGCAGGTGTCGAGTGTCGGTCCAATCGGGCGGGGGATCCTGATTGATCGGGTCCCCGGGGTAATAGTCACAGTAGATGTCGAGGGCGAAGACACCGCGCTTCAGGTCGTCGAGGAGCTCGTCGTTGACGCGGACGGGGATGGCCTCGAGGCTGGCGCGCATCTTGTTGAGGATCGACTGCGCCTTTTTCCGGCGCCGCCTCCGCCGCACGCCGACCTCGTCCTCCATGCGCTCGAGCAGCTGCAGGATCTCCGTCTCCGTGGTCGCCTCCGTGACGGCGTCGACGACTCGCTGTGTGAGCGCGTGGAGCTCGCTGGCCACCGCTCGGAACAAGCCGTCCACCCGACCCAGCGCGTAGGTGATTTGCGCCGCCAGCGCCCGCCCAAACCGCCGTCCGTAGTACTGGTCCCAGAACTCGATCCAGTACAGGAGCCCGACGCGTGACTTGCGCAGCCGCGTGAGTTCCAGAATCGCGATGACGTTGCGGCACAGTGTCAGCGTGTACAGCGCCGTCTGCCGCGTGCTCTCGAGGAGCATCTGGCTTTGCTTGAGAGCGGCTGCTGATTCGGCCGCGGATACGCCTGCTGGCTGCTCTTGTGGGCGGTCATTGCTTATGATGCGGTAGAACCGTTGCGTCAAGTTGCTGGCTACCGTACTACTGCTGGATGAATGTGTCGCCTCCGGTTCATAGATCAGGGAAGATGAAGATGCACCTGGCACCGGAATGACGGGTATGTCTGCTTGCAACATTCCAGATGCAGACTGCAGGACTTGAGTTATAGAAGGGATGCGAATGGTGTGTTTGTGAGATTCGGTGGTAGTGACGGTCAGGTTAAGTTAAGGAGAAGTGTTAAACGAGTGTGGCAGATAACGAGTGACTCGACAGTCTATGCCATTGGTAGTGATAATAATGGTGATCGTTCGAAGAAAGAGACAGTACAAAGAGTGTGTAAGAAGAGAAATTGGCCATGGCCCCTCGTCTGGGACGGTGTCGCCCTTTTCTTTCCTGAAGAGATGCTCCATCTCAGTCTAGCACGGAAGGAACAGACGAGGGTGCAATGGGAAGCAACAGTAACCTCGCTGGGGAGCCGTGGATGCATCCGGACTCGAGCCGCTGCTGAGGGTCTCTGTTCTGCTGAAGAACCGTTGAACTTCGGTCCACCGAATAGAGTGCAGGTGAGGTTCTCAGCATCTCCGCTTTCGGTAATCGGCAAGCGGCATCGGAAGACTCGGTCAAATGTCACCGTTACGACTGACTATCCCGAGTGAGTCTCAAAGATTGACTAGTCGACTGTCGGTATAGTCAGAGTCTGATCTGCCGGAGTTTCTATTTCCGACAAAGATGATGCCGTAAACGTGCAGTGCGGTTCCTGGACGGCAACCCGTCTTGGGGCCGTTGATGCGCCAAGAGTTTGTATAGAGGACCGGTCCTGCATAAAGACCTTCAAGCTAATCTTGTGATTTGATCAGCCGTGGTGATCGGCCAGGGGGAGATCGACGAGGATGGCTGCTCGAACTCCCTCCCTGTCTGCCCCTTGCAGGTAAACACACTTCAACCAAACTGACATTTTTCCTTGACCTGGGGCATCAAAACATCGATTCTGCTTTATGCAGGTGACCTGCAGGCGAGCGCTTATACCTTATACCAAGTTAGCGCGAGAAGAGCATCTATGCGCAAGAACCGATTCTTTATGACCTGTCAGAAGGACATGGTCTCATGCCATCTAGGGGCCCTATAATTCTCGCTCATGGCGAAGTGAGAATCTCGATAACTCTGAATGTTGTGCTTCTCTGAACTATCACGAGCCATGCAGCAGGACTTGCATTCCTGGACGACTCAAGGGACCATCCTGTAGAAGTACACTACTGCCGTCGGTTATCCGATCCACGTGTGGATAATCTCGATTAGCGACTTCCACCACTATCGTCTCAATCCCACCAGCGCAATATGGTCCTGACTTGAGGCCCATGATGAACTAACTATTGCAACGCCTGCCCTGAGCGCCACCTGCAAGACTCACGGGCGAATTATGAGGGCTTGGCTTTTGCTCCTGATTCATTCCCCAGCTTGTTCAATCCATGCCGTGTATGCGCACCTCCCCAAGAATGCTAGAAAGCAAGTCCGGCATGTGCGCCCCTTCGTCTCCATCGGCATTCAGGCAGACCTATTGTTTAGCAGCGCGTTGTTTTGAGGGGAAATAAAGATCTTTTATCTGGCTGGAGTCATTTGACACCTTCTTCTTTTTCCACCTTGCTATCGCCCTCTCACCCGACTTTAGAAACTTCGCGCCAGTTCCGGGTCCGTCAAGTCAACGAGGTACGTATTGTCGTTTGTGATACTAACAAGATCGAAGAAGGCATATACTGTGCCTTTCGACACCTAGCAGGTCCACGCAGCGCAGCCTTCTCTCCTTCGATATCGCTTTCCCGCGTCAGAAACCTCTCCGTAGCGGGATAATTGCAATCCAAGGCAGTGAACGCGTGAAGGCAATCCTCATCAGAACAATCCATCACGAAGTCATCTCAAGATGCGTGCGTCGGACACTCTCGTTGCGGCTTTCGCATGTCTGGCTCAGATTGGCATTGCTGAAGCAACTTTGTCTTTCACGCAATGGCCAGCGGTCATCCGTACTGGGCAGCCGACCACTCTGAAGTGGCAGACGGACTCGGATGCTGTAAGGCTGTCACGACGCCTCTCTGGCCTATCTGATCAGATCACTAATCAATATATTAGCCCGTGACTGTCACACTCCGAAGAGGTGCTGCCCAGGACCTTGACACCGTCCAGATCCTGTCGAACAATGCCCAAGGTGGCTCCTTCACCTGGATCCCGGATTCCACGATTGAGAACGGCGATGACTATGCCTTCCAGATCGAGCAGAACGGCTACGTGAACTACTCGGGACTGTTGCAAGTCACGGACGGGTCCGACCGGAGCCCAACCACCACTGCGGTGTCGACTCCGAGCCCCCGGCCATTCACGCTGTCGGCATTTTTGACCACTCCAGCACCAAGCACAAGCATTAGGCAAAGCACCCCAACTTCGTACCCCACCGACACGGCGCCCCACGATGACATGCAGACCGTCCAGAAGGGCAATAATGGCCAGACCTTCACTGTGAATGCTGCAGACAGCGACCCCAACTCTACCCCCGCAGGAGTGTCTAACAGTAAAACTGCTATGGCTGCCTACGTGCAAAGCGGCGCTGCTTCTGTCCGCACGATGGGAATGGGCGTGGTGATTGGTGCCTTCGCCATGGTCCTCTATCTTGTCTAGTGTGACTCCAACGAGGTATCTTGGTGAAGATCAATGGACCATTTTTCTTCATTGGTGGTGGATTTTATTTCAATGTGCTCTCTGACTTTATCACCCTGATTCACATCAACTCGCAGGGGACAGAGCGGTGTTGGAAGGACTCTGGTGGGCATCAGGGGGCGACAGGCGTTGGGTGAGGTTTGATTTTCGCTTCTCTTTCTCTTGTGTATATCTATAACTAGACGCTGCTGAGGTCGGGCCGGAAGCGGATCATGATCCCAACTCCGGCGCCCGCGTTGGGAACCGGGGTTGCAGATTAGCCAAGGACCCTCGGAAGTGCTGGACGTTTTGTATGATCAGATTGATTAATCAAGAAGTGCTGCTGCTATTGCTGTTGCTATTAATACTCATGTAAACGATGCGACCAAATAAGGCTGTGGTAGTAGAGTGGAGGAGGAAGAGGCAGTGGCAGTTCGGAACTTGGAACGTCAGCAACGGGCGTGTTTCAGGCGGCCCAAAGGGAAAACCAAGGATTGGATGCATGAACCTGATCGATCATCTGCTGCTTCTAGCGGCCGTGGTTAGTGGCGGCAGTCATTGATGATTGCTATTCTTACCCAGTTATCCATGCATTGACAGCAGATGAATCACATTCATTAATTGATTGTCGCTTGCTTACTTGTAGTACCAGTCATTCTAGTCTCTCTCTCCACTACTCTGCTGCTGCTGCTGCTGCTGCTGTCGTCTTTCGAAAAGGACTACAACCTCATCTTCTCTCCTTTCCCCTCTCAGGTTTCTTTCAATCGGAACTTGAACTCGTGTCACCTCTCCAATCCCCTATTGTTAATTATCTGGTGTCTACTTGAACGGATCTGTCAAGATCTTCATATTAATCAGCCCCAGTTTGTGCTGGCGCCACCCCACGTTGTGCTTGGACAGTGACGGTATGTTCAACAACAGACCCAATTCTCCGTTTCCTGCTAGTTTCCAACCTCACCTCGATTTTTCTGCTGCGTTCTTCCCCGTCCACCGCAACTCCGGAGATTATCTCTGATGTCTCGGCGATGAATAAGCGTCAAACTGACCATCATTTAACTGTTCCTGCTGCAGATCTCCTGCAATCAAGCCTTGATCCACTCCGTGGTATGTGCTTTTCTGCTCTCCCCCTTCTTTCATGTCGCCTCCAACCTGTCCGAAGCATTCGTCCCTTTCCCCTGCCGTTTCCTCCTCCTCTTCCTACACGCTCTTTGTCGATAGCCTAGGGTTTCGGGCGCATTGAGTGGGTGCGCTGTCAGCTGCGGTTCGTTTGTTTACTGGTCTGGGGGCTGCCTTGCCAAATCCCATTGCCAGCCTGCTGGCTTCCCCTTACTGCGGCCCAACAAACGCCTGCTTTACCGGCCTGGGTCTACTCCCCTCCTCCTCTTCTGGGGCAGGTTCCTGCTTGGATTCCTGCTCCGCTCTTCTCTCTTTGCAGTGTTTCCAGTTGCGGCGCTTTTCCCTTCACCACCTGCATTCCATCCACTCCCGTTATGGTCGGAATGGCCCGATTCGGTCGGGGCAAGAAGACACCCAAGTCAGGAACCAACAATGCTGACCCGGACATGCTTTCGCTGCCTACGTCAGATCCCCGTCGAGCGCCCCGTGTCAGCCTTCCCCATGTGGAAACGCAATTGAACATGCATCAATACAATGGACTCTTCAATGAAATCTCTACTCCCGAGCGGCCGACTGATGCTCCCGCCGCGGATTCCCCGCCAGGTACGTCTTGGATCCCGGTTGATGTCCCTCCCACGGCGCATCGCTCAAATATCACGAGGGGCTAACCCAGTCATGCGTAACCGACATAGACCCCGTGCTATCCACCTCCCCGAGCGGCACCAACGGCTTCGCGAATCACACAAACCAGGATGCCTCGGCCACGGAATGGTCGTCGGCGGTCGGGCATGCGGCGACGGGAAAGTCCGGGCGCGTTATCCATAACCTCCAGGAAGAAGTCGCGCGCTTGACTCGAGAGTGTAGTCTCTATCGCTCTCGCGCCGAGGAGACGCAGCGCATGAACGATGCCTACAAGGTCCAGGTACAGAACATGACCGAGCGACTCCGAAATCTCGAGCAAGCGAACGAGACGAACCTCCATTCGATCGCGCGGAAGGACAAGAAAATCGACGAGCTGCGAGCGGAGGTACAGACCGAAAAGGATCGCAGAGTGCAGGCGGAGGGCGAGGCCAAGAAAGTCAATCAGTTGATGGGGGTGGCCCGCGACGATTTCCACCGCAAATGTGCCGAGCTGCAGGAAATCTCCAACCATTCTCGGACTCAGTACGATGTCTTGGCCCAGTCGGCGCACCGTGAACGAGCGGAACAGCAGCGGAAGCTCAAGTCGATCAAGGATGATATCGCGGCCATGAAGAAGCATCACGACGCAAAGAATACTAAGCTGGAGCGTTTGGAGGCGATTATGGCGGAGAAGGATCAGGAGATTGAGCTCAATAGGGAGAGATTCGACCAGCTTTTTGCAAACTATGAGGCTTATAAGCAGGCGCAAGACGACGAAGTCGGAACGCTGATCGAGATCGGCCGGCGAGGCGAGGCCAAGATCAACGCCACGCTGGCTTCGCTGAAAGAAACCGAAGGGAAAATGAAGTGGATCATTCAGGTCAAACAACAGGTCAAGGACGCTGAATAATTGATCCAGCACAGTCTATGACGGTCCAAGCAATACCTATGGCAGGCGCCCACTCGGTTGACAGATTCGGGTCAACGGCGGGCACGTTGACCTTGATTACGGAAAATCCTCAGCTTGCAACCCAGTATCCCAATGGAGCACTCGTACCCTCTTGCGTGCAACTCGGCAACGGCAACGACAACGGTCATCGAGGACCATGAAACACATCTTCTACATTCCATTCTTGTACTCTTTATCTTTCCACTTCATCTTCAACCTTCTCTGCATGTGTTTCTTACCTACTGTTACTTATTCATACATGCTCCCTGGCATATCTCTGGGAGATATATGGTGTTTGGGAGTGCTTGATACCCTGGGAAACATAGACCGTCATGTCCCCTACTACTCTTATTTGTGACTATCGTGTTCGAAGTACAAAGCTGTTCAAATCCAATATTCTTCGATAGGTGTGTGTGTTTTAATCCACATGCCGTGTCACAATAATACTTATCTATCTTTGGTTTCTTGAAAAATACCATATTGGAAGGTGTCTGGGCGGAGCAACTCTGTTGTCTGCATTCACCCGCTCTCTGTTTGATCTAAGCACTGTCACTGAGGTAACTGACTGTGACCGGTAAATGGCTCTGGAAGCGCTCACTATTGATTCACTAGGACTGTTACTCATGGTCCAGTGGGCTGTCACTCAGGACTAGCTCTGTTTGTTGCCCCTGCCTAATTTTCCCGTTCCTCCTGTCTCATCTCTTGCCTTCCCTTCCTTTTGCTTTTGCTCCGTCCTTCTCCCCATCTCTTCACTTTCTCACCATCTCGGTTCAACGCGTGATAGCCTTTTCCTCGATCTTCCTCGCAGATCGTTTGTTGATACGTTGTTGGTCTCGTGAATCTGTCGTATACAGCCGAGGGCGGCTTTAGATACGCGTTTTATTGTTGACAATTGTTGCCGGAATGGCGAACGAGGAGCGCCTGGCGCTCGCCTCGATATGGGGTTTTGAACCGATAGGTGTAAGTGGCCCTACCATTCACAAGAGTCAATCTGCCAATGCCAATTCCGTTCAGGTCCAGGAGATCAGTGAAGAAGTCAGGTATATTGTCCGACACCCGGGCTTTCGGCTCAATATGATTGACTTGCCCGCAGGAATTTGACCTCTCAACATGATTGTCATATTGAATATATCAGGCTTGATAATGTGGGTATATATCCAGCATCTCTTTTCCTTCCATCACTGACATATTCTGACCATAAGGTCCTCTCCGTCAAAGGCTCCCTCGACGATTACACAACGAAGATCGCCAACGTTGTGTCTAATACTATCGCGGGCCAGGAGTACAAAGACCTACTTGATGTCAGCCTGTGATTTTTCGATCTCTTGTCATCTGCCAATTTCAAGCCCCATATACTGATGGCCATGATGTCGATGCAGGCTCCCCGCATATACCAGTTGGATATGACGTCTACCCTCCAGGGCGTTGGCCACGTGGACGAAATGAATGGACCTCTGGACGAGGGTTATGAGCTGATTCCCACCTCCACGATTCATATAACTAAGTTTTGGCTTTCGTCTCGCGGGGGTTTGGGATGCTATTCCTTTGAGTCTAGGAACATACTCTCAAGCATTGCTGAGCTCACTACCACCGAGATCACTATGCTCGACGATACGCAAGGAATCCAAGTCTCAGGAACCAGTGCAGTGGATGTTGATGATGCTCTGGCAAAGCTTTCTCGGGTTGAGAAACCATTGGTAAGTCCACCTCCCATCGCCACAAAACGGCAGCGGCTCATTGTTTGGTGTCCTAGACATGCCTTCAACATCCTATCATGGCCAACATGCTGGTCGTTTCGGAAGATGATGGGTTCCGCTATCGTATTCAGAAGTACAATACACTGAACCCGATCGCCCAGAGTCGGGTTCTAGCCGATCCGATCCTAGGCAGGTATGCTGTTCCGGGGGAGATGTACGTCACGGTGCAATTCTCCCTCGATAAAGTGACTCACTCAATGGGAATGCCAACCAATTTGAAAAATCCGCCCCATCTTGTCAACGACCCTGGTAAATCTCGTATTTGGAATGACTTTGTTTTCCAGCCGCTTGGAAGTGGCGAGGGATATCATGCAGTAATCTCGATGGCCGAAAGCACCATACCTGGAACCCGCGCAATGACAATAGAGGAGGTCTCAGCTTCGCTGCACCCTTACCTGACCGCTGAAAAAGCAAAGCAGGTCAATCAATGGGTTGTTGAGGGGGCACGAGTGGAGAGAGATGTTCCTGAAACAGGTTCCGTGGCTCCAGATACCGCACAGGCTCCTGTCCCCAAGGCCTTTGCGCTTGTACCACGCGATGTGACTGGTGCAGCCGGGGCCCAGAAACCGACCGGTGTAAAAGTGCGCAGGGTCGCTCCAGCTGTCTCAAAGCCAGTGTCTCAGGCGGCTCCCTCAGCTACTAAGCCGAAATCAAGTTCGAACGGAGCTCCTCCGGTGACAGAGCCTAGATCACCCAAATCCGAAAATCCGGGTTTGAATGAATACGAGCTTTCGCCTAGGAAACGCTGGGTGATGCAATATGATATCAAGAATGGCGAGCAGAACTTACAGGCTCCAATGTCGGAGGCAAAGGCTCCTGGACCTCAATCTCAGGCTCAGCTCTCTGAAGACAAGTCAATTTTGCCATCTACATTTGACACTACTCGTTACGGCCTGAAGAGTCCTTCATCACTGCAACGGCCTTGGAGCCGACGAGGTAACCCCAGCTTTGGTTCAGCAACAAGATGGAAGGCCAGCCGTCAGAATCAGCTCATTGACATCAACGTGCCTGTAACCGCCGCCACCAGCTCCCAGATTATATCATTTGATCAACCAGCTCTTCTCCCATCAGCCTTCTCGTCTAGCGCTGACACCACGGCTTCGTTTGACAAGAACACTTCGGACCTTGCTGGGCTGACCATTGGGCCTGGAAGTTACCTGGAGTCCAGTGAGTCTGGGTCTGGACATGGACCTACTACTCCAGTCAATGGTAGCGTTGCATACCAAGAGGAAAGGCTCGGTGCACTGCGCGAAAAATACAACGCAACAAGTCGCGAGGTGATTTCCACATCCAATGCAATTTCCAATGCTCCAGCCTCCCGAAGTCAAGCAAACGAGATATGGGTCAAAGCTATGATTACTGATTTGGAAAGAGCACAGCGCTCAGAAAAAGAGTCCTCCGATGAGGTTGCATCTAGAAAGTTTCACAAAACCAGACACAGGGCTCCAAAGAGTGCTAGTGCTGCTAAAAGCAAGGCAGAAGCCAAGGCGAGAAGGCAAGCGACGCTTGAAGATTCCTGGGGCATTGGCAAGCCGAAGAAAAAGCCTACCGCCGCCTCAGTTGAACAGAACCCAGCCGCAAGTTCCAATATGCAAGCTTCGAACGTGCCAAAGCCAGCTCCCGTAGAAGACGCTGCCTTCAAGAAGCAGGTGAAGAATCTTCATGATGCCATTATTCCCATCCTTGACTCGGCGGCGTGCTTTCCTGGAGCGATGAATATCGAGATGCAGCTTGGTCTGGTCTTGATACCTCTTCTTCCCATGACCTACAGCCAAGAATCCATGACTTTGGATGGCTGGACAAAATTGTTTCGTCCACCACGCGGCTTATTCGCTCCGACCACAAAGTTCGTCACAAGACTTACCACTTCTGGTGCCGACATTGACCATATCGTAGACATTCGAACTTCCAAGGCCGATGGCAAGCGTCGCCTATTCGAGCAGGACTACACGGATTACGGCGTCTCCTATGAATATCACTTTCGCACTAGATCTAACAAGGTCTACATGGTAGCCATCGATGAGAATGGGAGTCACAGCATCCGAGAGCCAGGAAAAGCCCTTGGTGGAGTCAACTTCCACTTCCCAGGTCACACGTGGGATGCAAGAATGTCGGTCAGCAAAGCGACGGGGTTCGCATGTGACACTAATTCGGATATTGAACAGATCGCCCAGCATCTCATCAAGAGCATCTGGATCGAACCGGACAAATTCCTCATCCGCATTTACACGCGTCTGCCCACCGAGATTGAAAACAAAGTCACCCTGGAGAATGTCTATATGAAGCGATGGACTCGGCACCGTCACCTGCAGCCCGGCGAAGCTGCATCCGCCTCGGGTCCCAAAGCAGCAACTGTGGCCGACAAAGTCTGCAACGATGATGGCAATGCCACCTCCCACATCTTCCTGCAGATCACAGAAGTGCAAGACCTCATCCACGGGAAACACCCCACTGAGCCGGAAGTCAAGCGAGCCCGGGCCACGCCGCCGGCAGATATGGTGAGCAACGGTCGACTCTGGTACGAAGTCGCGCTGGTCAGCCCCGCGATCGATGCCCTCCTCAACTCCAACGCCGACCTCGAAGTGGGCGAGCGCTCAAGTGACTGGCGCGGTATTGACCTCTTCGGCCGAGACGCCGCCGCGCTGCTCGGTGGTGGTGGTGGTGGTGGTGGTGAACACCAAAAGCCCAGCCCCGTCGCCAAAGCAATCGGTCACGCAGGTCTCGGAGATCTCCTTAGTCTGGCCAAGACGGTGATCCAGCGGATCGACGCCGTGGGGTTCTGGAATGCTCGGCCGGGGGTTGACGTCGTGTCGGTCGTTGAGCCCTCGTTCCGCGGCGACGTTCAGCCCGGTACGGTTGTGGGGATGCTTTACGGCGACTCGGAGAGTGAGGAAACGCTGGGGGCCCGGGTGGATTCGAGGGGCGTGATCCGGTATCCGCCGCAGGTTGATGTGTTTGCACCTGAGGAATACTGGTGACTTGGTTCGGTTTGGTTCGGGAGTGTTGTGGGTGGACAGGGACTGAGGGAGCTAGAATGTAACTTTCGGGAGGAGGGATTAAGCAGTCAGTCTTAGTGTTTTTTCTGCTGGTTTAACTGATTTCGTAGCTTAAGAGGTTACATCGTAGGTAGAGTTCGAACAAATGCCATGGAATTCTTGCTTGCAGCACAGTCTTGAATCGAATCTCAATTCCTTCATTCAGCGGTCACACCGTAGTCATCCCCAACAATAACGAATTGACTATGGTCTACCAGACATCAACGGATCTTAATCTAAAATCCGAGGTGGATGGGTACATTCATCTCTATATCAGAACCAGACCACATCAGTAACAAACTCACTTCTAGATCCTTCTGAAGCTCAGAACCCCATACTACAGTCTTCACAAACTATCAATCAACCAGATCAGGAGATCTATCAAATCACTCTACCTTCATCAGTCTCTCTCCTATATATCTCGGAGTCACTCCCATTCTACCAACGAAACCTCAATCCTATCCAACTCTACCATACCCTACTCCGGGATGCAAAACCCGGGTAATGCAAGCAAAGAATGCAACGCACACATCATACTCCAGAATAAAGGTCCGAAAAAAAAAAAAGATGTAATCTAATCCTCCTCCTCAGGCGCATCATCCACACCGCGCAACCACGCACCACGCGCATCGACAGCCGCCTTGCGCACCTCGCGCTTCGGATCATCGAGCACCGTCCTCAGGGCGCGCACAACCTGGTTCTTAACCGCTAACAGCGGGGAGAGCGTCCCTGCGCGTGCGATGGCTGGTGCGTTTGCACCAGCTGGAGAAGGAGGCGGGGGCTGAGCGAGCAAGAACAGGCAGTTCAGTGCGTCGACGCGGAGGCGCGGCAGGGCGTTGGCGGGCGTGTATTGCGCGGTTTGCAGGAGGCGGGTCACTAGGCTTTGTACGTGGCCTGTCTGGTCCAGGACCGGGACGCCGCTGTCGCGGATGATGACGGCTAGGGTTTCGAGGGTGGCGGTGCGGACGGGGTAGGAGGATGGGGTGTGGAGGTCTAGGCTCTGGAGGAGGAGCGGGAGGAGGGTGGGGAGCTCGGGGAGCACGAGCGGCGGTGGGATGGTGGAGAGGATCCCGCTTAGGGCTGTTAGGTGCGCGGGTTTGATGTGTGGGTTGTTGTTTGCTTGGTTGTTGTTGGAGGTGGAGAGGTTGACTTCGCGGATGCGGGCGGAGATGAGTGGTGTCAGTGTTGTGAAGACGCGCTGTTTGCTTAGCAGTCGGATGTTGGCGCCGTTGGTCGCGCTGAGGATGTCGTCTGCGCGTAGGAGGATCGCGAAGCTGCGCGCGGTCATTAGGCTTGTGTTCTCGTCGGGCGAGGACACGAGCGCCAGCAGCGAGGTCAGCAGATCCGTGGTTGCGGGCGCGAGGCGCAGGATCAGGCCCTTGGCGAGCCAGATCAGCGTGTTGATTGTGCCCGCGGTTACGTTGCTGGCGGTGCTGTTGGGCGGTAGGAGGGTGTAGAAGAGGGAGGTCGCCAGAGGCAGGTCGGCCTTGGGGAGGAATTTGTTGGCCAGCAGCGCCAGGTGCCGCGTGAAGGCGTGTTGGGTCGCTGGGTCGGTCTCGCTGATCGAGCGGTTGGCGAGGTCGGCGAGCAGTGCGGCCATGTTGGGGTCAGTGGTGTAGGGCAGGTTCTGGATGTCTGCTGGAAGGCCGGCCAGGATGAAAGTCGAGAGAATCATCGTGCGTCGCTGATTTTCGGTAGATGATGGCGCGAAGGGGACCGGCTGGAACTCCTCGGCCGGGGTGAACAGGGTGTAGACGTTGTGGGCGATCTCATCCTGCTTGCTTCGAGGCAATGCTCTGACGATGAGATTGCAGACTCGGCCCAGGATATCCAGGACTGAGACGTCGCTGAGGATGTTGTTCGGGGCCTTGGCTGAGGTGGACGTTGCAGCAGCGCTGCGGCACAGACCGACCACGATCTTGTCGTAGTAGAACTCCAGGCTCGGGTCTTCCTCCATCTTTCTCTTGTTCATGACGTACAGAATAGTCAGGAGGATCGTCCGCGGGTACTCCACGGAACCGGACTGCTCCTGCTGCAGCAAGAGGTTCAGTTTGCTGAGCAGTCTCCGCACCAGCGTCTCGAAGATGTCCTTCTCAACGCTGATCTGTGCGAGGACGTCGAGAGTGTTCATGTACCCACTGTCCGCTTCATCGGTTGAGTCAGGGAGTGTAGCCACAAAGGCAGGGAAAGTGATGTCCAGAATCAGACGGGGCTTGTGTTTTGAAATCTCCGTCAGAGCAGTGATTGCTTCCTTTTTTAGGTCGTCACGTCCGACGGATTCCTCCTTCAGGAGGATCTCATCGAGGTATTGCACGAACAACCCAATCTCGTTGTCTTGAAAGAAATCGCGCAAGACCGATAACCGCAGGAACCCCTTGAGTGCCGAAATCCGGAATGAAACCTCTTCCTTGATAGCTCCCATCAATGCCTGGCCGAAGATCTCCGAAAACTGGTCCTTGAACTCGAGTAGAGGATTTTCGAAAGCAACCTCCGAGTCGCGCGAGGTCCATTCGCCAAAGACCTTGATAGAGGAATCGAAGAGAACACCCAGTGTTTCCAAGAGTGCTCGTTGCTTGGCGATTCCATCAGCCTCCTGGTAGATGGTCAGTAGGGGCGCGACGACGGCCTGTATGATCAATGTAAATGCAGCTGCCGAGGCAGACGACACAGAGCTGAGGATCTGTTGGGCAGGCTTTGCCTGTTTCTGTTGAGGCTCGCGCAGCTGCTCGCTGCATTCCTTGGTGATTGGGCGCAAATACTGCGCAAGAGGCAACTGATCGGATGTTTGCGTGACGCCTTCCGACAAACGCTTGGCGATACCTTTCAGCACCTGGAGGGAGAGCTCGGAGAGGAATTCCTCCTGAGCGTTCAAGATCTCAAACTTTAACGTCTCCCATATCGTGATAGAATAGCGAGACACAGTGTTAGGGTCATACGCCTCGACACAGGCGATCAGAGCATTGAGAGCGTCCCTCTTTAAAATGATCAGCCTATATACAAACATGCCCTGGACCATGTGGAGCATACCTTGACATTCGGGGATGTCGAGTCAAGCTTATCCAGCAAGGACGGAATAGCATACGGCGCAAACAGACTGTTTGATGAAATGCAATCCTGCAGGCGATCCTTCAAGTCTTGAGCCGTGATGCCGTACGGATCGTTCGGCGGAGGTCTGAAGGTGATAGGGAAGTAATTGTAGACCGAGTCGAATAGAAGCTTCGGAGGTCAGCCGTGGGAGTCGACCTAGGAGATTTCGGCAGCACGTACCTCCGCATGGTTGGAGACGTCCCATTCCACCATAACCACTTTGAGGATGGAGAACACCAACATCAGGTTGCGAGGATCCTTTTCGCCCGTGACGAGGTCCACAATTCCAACCAGAGACTCTTCACCCATATCATGAAGTGCTGTATCGGTCAGTGCTCCGGACCATAAATTTCGGATGTATTTGTTAACGCACCGGCACGGTAATTCAACATTAATTCGTTCAACAACTGGTAAACCTGGAATCTCTGAGACTGGGAGCGAGACTGCAGTTCCTGGAAGTGTTCGAAAATACTGCACAAGTCAGTCTCTGCTTCCATGTTGAGTTTGCCGAGCACTTCAGCGGCGTGACCCCAGCTCCTCCACCAGGGAAACCAAGCACTTACGCCCGAGCGACCTCTTCAGCCAGAGGCTTGTTAAATCGATCCAGCTTCTGCAGCGTCTCCAGCCCCGCAACAGCCCCTCCATCCTGGATCCGGTCGCAAAAGAAGGTCGTCAGAACTTGGATCTGTTGCCTGGAGAGGAATTTCGCGGGAAGCTCCCGGATGATGGCCGTCAAATAGGACACGGCTTTGCCGCGGAGGATGGGGTCGTCATCGTTGATGTATTCGCCTAGCGACTGAACCACTTCAATGAGCGTCGTCTTCTTGTTCTCCACATCTGACAACCATGTGCGTTAGAAATAGACATACGCACCCGGACCGGGGAAACCTTTGCGGAAGGGAAGAGTTTCAACTTTACCTTGAGCAACTCGTTCAGCAATCTGCTTGGCTTCCTGCTTATCGTGGTCCACGACCAGCATAAAAGTCTGCAATGCCGACATGCTGGTAGCGTGAAGGGGAAAGATGGAAATTCGTTTCGGCGCAGAGAGGTTCTAGCAATTCCCCCCTCCTTCTCCGCGACCGGAACATGACGCTGCAGGCTGTTTGTGGCCATTGCCCTTATCGATAAGAGAATATCACGTGGACTGGCGGTTCTTTGGCCTCGTTGCGTTGCGTCATGGGCGGGCGGGACACGAGCATCGACTGTATGTACTGTAGTACTGAAGTAAACTATATATCATCAACCACCAACTTTTCTACCCTACCCCAAGATGCGCAAATTCCCCCTCAATATAATTTTGACCCTTCTAGTCTTATACATTGTAGTCCTCCCCACCACCGCGACCTGGGATCTCCGCTTCCGCAAACGCCTCCCCAGCCCACTAATCAACCCACCGCACCTCCGCCACGAGCGCCGCCTAGGCGATAACCTCGACGCCATCAAGAAGTGGCTCTCATACCAACAGCAACCCCTAGCAGCAGCCGCAGAAATGGGCAGCAACCCGTCCAGCAATGCAGTGCTCCCGCCGGTCTCTTCAGGTGACGGAGGAGATGGCCGCAAGAGCGACGGGGTGATCGTCTCAGACGTGCTCCCCAAGACCAAGGGCGTGAACATCTTCGCCTCTCTGACACGGCAGTTCGAGTCCGTTGAGGCGCGTCTTGACGACGCCGCCCGCAACGTCACCGTGCTGGCGCCCCGCAACAGCGCCATCCAGGACCTGCCGCGCAAGCCGTGGGAGAATCCCGACGACTATGAGCGGTTCGGCGAGGCGAACGCGTATGCCGGCCAGGACGGTCAGGATCGCGCTACCCGTAACCTGGAGCGGTTTGTTAAGGCGCATGTTGTTGTGAAGAGTCCGTGGCCTGAGGGTGAGGAGGCTGAAACGCTGGCTGGTGATCGGTTGACTTGGTCTAGGGTTGGGGACAAGATTCGGGTACGTATGGGCGCGAAATCACTGGCTATACTTTTACTAGTGGGAAGGATTTGTGGCTGACTGCGTTTTAGATTCAACCGGGCGATGTGGAGGTGGATAGTATTGCTGAGAAAGTTTCGAATGGGGAGGTGTGGGTTCTTAATGGGGTGATCAATTATCGCTAGGCCGTAGATTATATATTTTGCGTCAAGCGATGACCTGCTTCTGAATGTGATGATCAATGATGTTAATATGAATACATACTACTTTCTGCACGCTACGCTTGAGTTACTTGAAATACAGGACATAGTAATTATATGAACGAATATGTCATTGTCTTAATTTGCATCGTCACACGGCATGCATCAGGCTTACATTGTGAACACTACATACCAGACAACAGTCGACACAAAACCGCTCCCCCGAACACCAAATTAATACGCTTCCCTGGCGCCATAGTTCTGCAGAATTCGCTCCTCAATACCATCCAGAATGCAAAAGTGTTCCATAACCGCGAGGTTCTCGGCCTCGTTCTGATACATCTTATCGGGATCCTGGCCCGGCTGGAAGGGGTTCATGCCAGCAGCAGGGTTCATACCCGCCATCTGCTGAGACATGTGGTTGGCAGCTAGTAGTCATTGAGGTTAGTCCAAAGTATCTCCAACACGGAACGAGTAAACAGGCTTGCGTGCAATCTGACTCACCATTATCGCTACCGAGAATAAACCCGAACACAGACTGTAACCCGAACAGATTCAGGAAGTACCACGACAGACTGGACACCCATCTAACATCCAAGTCGCGGGTCATGACACCAGACTGCAGCATGGACTTGAACCGGATAGTCAAAGGGAAGGGCAATTTCACTATCAATTTCCATCCCCGTCAGCAACTTCACCCCCATTACTCTAGACCAACAAAAACTTACAGATAACAAACCCCGAGAAGAAGGCGTTGATCCAGCTCATAATCAGCGTCTGCGGGATCATCATCATCATATTACCCTTCATCATGCCCATCATGGCCTCCATGCCGGCCGGATCCGTCATGGGATTTGCCGGCGGCTGGCCGCGGTTTCCGGGGTCCTTCAAGAAGGCGCCGTCGTGGTAGGCCGAGATGAGGTAGTTCTTCCGCATCTCGAAGGAGTCTTTGCTGAGCACGTAGGCGTTGTTCCGGAAGTTGACGCCGCGAATGAGGCCGAGGCGTTCGCGCGATTCGGCCAGCGTGGATGCGGGCTTCGGCGGGCTGTTCATCAGGATTGTGGCATAATGGCGCAGGATACCGGTGAGGATCTGAGTTCCTTGAGATGAGCCACTGGAGCTTTGCAAATACAGGCTGGGAAGGGAAAGCGTACCATGACAATGGTGATAGGAAACACGATCCAATAGCTAGTTGGGCAAGATATCACATCACGTCAGTTTTTGGCTTCGCCAGAATCATCCCCGTCTCGGGAGAGAAGTATCGGACGTACAAAAGAGCAGGATCCCGAAGGATCGTCTGCTCGACCCCTTGCAAAGCCATGTTGAACAATATTCGCGTGCAAGATTAGGGAATGCTGACGTTCAGTTCGGACCGAGAAGCAGAAGACGGAGGACGGGGAGCTCCCCACGAAGTTCGATGGGGGCGGGACGAACGGCGGCGGCCTTACTGCCTTGGCGCATGCCGCTTTAGTTTGCCAAAGGGACAGCTCGCCGCAACTCCTCCGACGAGACCGGCACCTTTCATTCAGACACATTCAAAGCTACACCTTGTTTCAAGACACCTCAAATTCTAGCGGCCGTCAACTTGTTAGAATTTGCTATTTTACCCACCAGAAGCGCACAAATGTCGTCTGCGGAGGCACCCAAGGTGCCTGTTTACTCGAGCAATGGTTAGTATGCAACTTGACTCCCACGCCTGATTACATACTGCAATGCAGCAGTTACCCTCGCGGTGCGCTGCACTTGTGTGTGCATCTGCGCTGGTGAACATGACCACAGAACAGAACACTCCTCAAACTAACGCCAACCGCCAGATCTGAAATCCACGACCGACGATGCCCTAGCTCCGCACCTCACCACCCTCCCGCAACCGTACCGATTCACCCAAGACAACTCCAAGATCAACGTCCGCTTGCTTCTGGGCTACTCGGCCGTCGCCATCGCCGGCTTCACGTTCTACGCGGACCGCGTGCTGAAGTGGGAGGCGACGCGGTCGCCGTGGATCCTGGCGGCCGTCGCATCGTACTTCACCCTCAACTCTTTGCTCACATACTGGATCTGGGCCGTCGAGGCCGGCGAGGTGTTCCGCGGCAAGCGCAAGTCGGGAGAAACGGTATGTCTGATGCGCCACCTCGACCAGGGATAAAGTCGGGGACATGGAGTGGTCTAACGTTTTCTTCTAGATTGTGATCCGCTCCTCCGTCAAGAAACATTCCCCTCTTTACAAGCTCAACGTTCAGTACAAGTCCCCCGCGGGCAAGGTGATTCAGGAGAAGGAGATCGAAACCTCGTTCACGAAGTGGTTCGCGGCGGATGGCACGTTCCACATCCAGCCGCTCCGCAACTGGTTGGCTAGCGAGATTGAGGTCCTGCGGCTCGCGGCGATTGAGATTGAGAAGAAGACTGGTGGTGTTGCGAGCCATGTTGCGGTCGAGGATGCGGAGCAGAGCGAAGGGGTTAAGGTTGCAGAAAAGAGGAAGTGAAGGGTGTCGCGCTGTACAAGCTTTCTTTATATACCACAAACATCAATGTGGTTTGCATGTCAAAAATGGCGCAGGCTCTGGGTCGTGTCTGGTGTGAGTATCGGGTTTCTCTATCGGATTATGTCTGCGAATCTTGGAATGATAGCTTAGATGTGATTGAGGACACAGTCACCGTCCATGATATGCGTCCAACAGTACAAATTTTGTAGCGCCAGGTTCACCCATAACTTTTCAAACCCAAACTGCTGAAATCGAGGCAGAGAACAGGGCGGCAGCGACATATTGACAGCGTGTTTTACATGGAGATTCGTCAAGCTGAAAAACAAAAGGAAATGTAAGAAATCTATGGCTAACTCTGCTATATCGTCTTTCGTTGCTATGTTTTAGAGGGGAAACATTGTAGTGCCGGTGAGCGCTTTACGAGGCAGCTTCCAGAGTGCCCGGACGCTCAGTGGCCTCGGCGGGTTTCACATCATCCATTCTCTTGTTCTGGATGAGTCTCTGTGTGTAACTGTTAGCTGCTGATTTCTTCGACAGACAGATGTCATGCAACTGCGGGGATGTCCTACGTACCAACAGGTTTCTGAGCAAGACAACAATCGTCACCTTTCCGGTGGAAGGTACAAAGATGGAGGCCTTCTCCTTCACCTCGGGACCAAAGTTCTATACACAAAAACACGTCAGATCTATTCGTAACTTCAATCCACGCATCAATTCAAACATACCTTCTCGCTGGAGAAGTTGAGGCAGACAGCACCGTCTCTGAGCAGGCTGGTGTCGAACTTGTACTTCTCACCGGGGACACCGGAGATAACAACGTCGCAGAGGGGCACGACGTCCTTCAGGGTCTTGCCCTCGAGCTCGACGACCTCATGCCTGCCCTTCTTCAGACCCTCACCACGAGTGAACTTCTGGATGCCGGTGACATCGACACTGTAGACGCAAGCGCCATCGTTGGCCAACAAGGCGGCGAGCGGGCGTCCGACGACCTCGGAGCGGTTGACCACGCAGATGGTGTGGCCAAAAAGGCGGTTGCCGTAGGGCAATATCGTGTTGTAGATGTTGAGGTACTCGAGGATCTTGATGATGGCCAGGGGAGTGCAGGGGAGAATGCACTTCTGACGCCTAGTTTCGGGGTCCAGGAAGCGGATGTTCCGGTACATGTTGAAGATGTACCGGTGGGTGAGGCCCTCTACATCTTTGGATACATCGACGATCTGCTGCAGGTACTGGTCCTGGCGGTTGTTGAAGATGGGGTAGTATACGATGATGCCGTCAACATCCGGGTCGACGTTGGCATTGAGAATGGCCTGCTCGAGATCGTCCCGGGAAACTTCACGGAGGGAGTAACGGAACCCACTGTGCAGGAGAGGAAGACTACGTTAGCTACGACATGACTCATATGTAGGTAAACCCGATGTTAATGCCTCGCGTCCGCTCTGCCTCCGACATCGCAGGGTTGACGGTCCAGGAGGAAAAAACAGAGACCGACGGGGACATTGAACACACATGAACAGGAAATGGGAAAGAATGCTCACTTTTCCACGCAAGTCTTCTCCGTCCATTGGGCATACATCAAAGCCGCAGGGTCGTTGTTCGCAAGGAATCCGACCAGGTGAGGCGGCTTCTCAAGCATCTTCACGCCCTCCTGAACCTCCTCAAGCAGGCGATTGGCGACATGCTTGGAGAGCATGACCTTGCAGGAGGCCGGAGCCGAATCGGTAGCAGTAGCCATTTGTGTGATGATGAAAAGATTGTCTAAACAATCAAACAAATCAATACTAGCTTTGCGTGATGAAGTGGGCTGCTATGGTTTGGAGGGGTATGGGAAAGAAAATTTGGGACGGCAAGACTGCTCGCTTATCGATAAAAAAGTATGCCCGCATTCGGCCGCCCATCGGCGCCAGCCATTGCACAGGGGCAGGTTCAAGTGCACTATTGTATGAATAGGATTAGTCTCAGCAAGGATTTGAAGACCATACTGAAAGAGTAATGCATGCACTCTAGTAACTAAGTGCCTTGGTGGGGAGCCTAATTCCAAGCTACTACCACCATACTACAATTAAGCAACGGGGGCATTCATTACTCGGCACAATGCCGTGCCCGCCTGGTCTGCTCTTCCCCCATATATTATGCCAAATCAATCTCGCCCTCGATGGACGTCCGTGGTTACCCCGGATTACTGATGAGATTGTAGTTCGGGGCTCCATCTACAGTCTCCACCGGAGAGCACGGGCGAACCGATCAAATGAACAAAGGAAATCATATTCAGGGCTGCATATATAGACAACGGCGGGATCACGGGCAAAGACCAGCTGGACCGTTCAGGATCCTTGCCTAGTCAATCGGTACCCATTGCCCCCATTCATTTGTCTCGCGGAAAGATCTAAACGTACAGGATATTAATCGTATCTTTTGGCCTTCCTCGTCCCACCGTTTTACCTTGCGTCATAGCTACAGAAGATCAGATGGGCATACCATCATGAAAGATGCGGTTACATCCCAGCCAAGTGTTCGACCGATCCGAAGCTCCGGCGGTTTTTAACAACAAAACAAAACAGTGGTCTCAAATTGTACAAGCTATCTTGTCTATACAGATAGAGTCAGGATAAAAACAGTACACGGCGGACTAATCACCCAGAGGCCATTTGCTCACCTATGCGTTGAAGGACTTGTTGAAGTTGGTGATGACCTCCTTGAGCTGAGCCTCGAGGTCCTTGCTGACCTGGCCCTCCTTGTCAATGGTCTCCTGGATCTCGGGGTGGTTGCTCTTGAGGTGAGCAAGGAAGTCGGACTCCCAGGTGAGGATCTTGGCGACGGGGATGGAGTCAAGGAAACCGTTGACACCAGCGAAGATCAGGGGAACCATGTCGGGGACAGACATGGGGGAGTACTGCTTCTGCTTGAGAAGCTCGGTGAGACGCTCACCACGGTTGAGGGTCTGCTTGGTGGAGGCATCGAGATCGGAACCGAACTGGGCGAAGGCAGCGACCTCACGGTACTGAGCCAAGAACAGCTTCAGGGAACCGGCGACCTGCTTCATGGCCTTGACCTGGGCAGCGGAACCGACACGGGAGACGGAGAGACCGACGTTAATGGCGGGACGGATACCCTTGTAGAACAGCTCAGCCTCCAAGAAGATCTGGCCGTCAGTGATGGAGATGACGTTGGTGGGAATGTAGGCAGACACATCACCACCCTGGGTCTCGATGACGGGGAGGGCAGTGAGGGAACCACCACCGTGCTTGTCGTTCATCTTGGCAGCACGCTCGAGGAGACGAGAGTGGAGGTAGAAAACGTCACCGGGGTAGGCCTCACGACCAGGGGGACGACGGAGCAGCAGAGACATCTGACGGTAGGCGACGGCCTGCTTGGAAAGATCGTCGTAGATGATGACGGCGTGGCGGCCGTTGTCACGGAACCACTCACCCATAGCACAACCGGTGAAGGGAGCGAGGTACTGGAGGGGAGCAGCCTCGGAGGCAGTGGCAGCAACGATGATGGAGTACTTCATGGAGTCGTTCTCCTCAAGGGTCTTGACGAGCTGAGCGACGGTCGAACGCTTCTGACCGACGGCAACGTAGATACAGTACAGCTTCTTGCTCTCGTCGCTGGAGGTGTTGTTCCAACGCTTCTGGTTGAGGATGGCGTCAAGGGCGACAGCGGTCTTACCGGTCTGACGGTCACCAATGATCAACTCACGCTGACCACGGCCGATGGGGACCATGGAGTCGACACACTTAAGACCAGTCTGGACGGGCTGGTTGACGGAGTGACGGGGCAGGATACCAGGGGCCTTGAGCTGAGCACGGCTCTTGGCCTTGGTGTTGATGGGGCCCTTGCCATCGATGGGGTTACCGAGAGCGTCGACGACACGGCCGAGCATCTCAGGACCAACGGGGACATCAACCTAGTCGAGAAGGTTAGTATGGAGTTGGGACACATGGTTTCGAGAACCTGGGGAAAGTGGTAGCATACAATCTCTCCGGTACGCTTGACAGTCTCACCCTCCCTGACGAGACGGTCGGAACCGAAAAGCACAACACCGACCTGGCCGGCTTCGAGGTTCATGCACATACCCTTAACACCGGAGGCGAACCTGAGAAGACAGTTAGTGGCCTGATATATCAGTTACACAGTGATTCGAGGAGGTACGTACTCGACCAGCTCCTCAGCCTGGACGTTGGTCATGCCATGGACACGAGCGATACCGTCACTATTGACAAAATCATGTTAGTTTGATATAAATTCCATAGTAGAGCTGTTGGTGGCGGGTTTTTCAATGATTTCTCGATGGTTCTTCGATGAATTCGATGAAGAAGGCGCGACCGAATTTTTCAAACGGAAGGATTTCGTCACGTACCCGACGGAAAGGACACGTCCAGTCTCGGCAAGACCAGCCTCCTCCTGAACACCACGGATTCTCTGCTCGAGGATGGAAGAGACCTCGGTGGGAGAGGCCTTGGCCTCAGCAGCGTAGGAACGGATCTGCTTGGAGGCACCAGAGATGGGGCCGGGAACAGCGGCGCGAACCTGCAGACGGTAGGCAAAATTTGTCAACATCACAACCACGCAGTCAAAACGCGTCAAAAGCTGATAGCAGGCATTGCGATAGGTAGAGAGGCGAATGGAAGTGTCATTGAGATGACTTCTTCGATATAGAGGACCGAATTGAATGGACGTCGTCGACCTGGACAGGGATAGGACTCACGGAAGCGATTCTGCCAGTGGCAGAGGCAGCCGCAACGGTGCGGCTAGACTGCCGCAAAGCGTTCCTGAACATTGTGAAAGGGGTTCAGAGGTGTGGGAGAGTGGTTTCTCTGAAGGAGAGATGTAATTGGGGGGGGGAGAGGAAGAAGAGGAGAAAGGATTGTGGATGGAGGAGAGGAGAGCTTTGTCGTCGGGGTTGGGAGGGATTCTCAGAACTGGCACTAATCCTAGTTTGCCGAGCCTCACCAACCTCCGAAGCCGCCCTAGTGCGCTCACGGGACAACCCACCCGTCCCCAAGAAAACGAAAACCCGGGTGAGGTATTGTATGAACGAACGATCAACTATTTGATTTCTTTTTTCTACTAATTTTCCCTATTATTCTAGACCCTGTCAGATGTTTCAATACAATTTGTCTACAGCAAAAAATTATATGGTGGAAGCATACCCAGCACACGTCGGGGCTGGTTGCTTGGTTGCTAGGTTCTCCCGGGCCACCTGTCCGTTCCCAATTTTCATTTCCACTGTATTTCTATTTCTCTCTCTCTCTCTCTCTCGGATCTGCGGATACTGAATGCCACTGCTGGTTGGCTGGCTTACTCATCTGCATTTTCGTCGCAGCAACCGCCCGCAGCCCGCAACTGCAGCAAGGCCCTGCTGCTGTCCACGAATGCCAGCTGCTGCTGCTGCTGCTGCCAATGCCACCAGTGCCAGCCAGCAAACCAAACTTGCTTTGCTTGACCGGTTGTCCCGGTGGGAATTCTTTCCCCGTCCCCGTTCTCCATACATGCGTAGTCTCGAAAACAGAACAACCATTCCAGACGGCGGTCACTCGGTTGTGACATCGCTTTTCACCTCCTTTTCTCTCATTTTGATCTTTCTTTCCATGCTCCCTCATCGGTAGCGGTCTTTCCTTTGTAGCTCTAAATCTTTTGCGCCGCTCAACGTTCCTTGGGTCCCAACCCGAGCATTGCCGCATCAACCCTGTCACTGCAACCACCCCCCCCAATCCTTTTCCGATTTCAGTAACTTACATCATGCTCCACTTTAGGACTGAGATCACTAGTTTGAACCTACAAAACCAGACGACATTCACATTAGTTACTTGAGAACCTGCAACTCACTAATGATGCCGACTTATCAGACACATTTACAAAGTGAAAATAACCCTCTCATTCTCACAACACCGCCTTTCTGCAGTCCACTCTCCATTGTCACCTTGTAGACAAGTTACCGAATCGGGCAAGCGATATCGCGGCTACGAAAGCAGCAAGGCATCGATTGCTACAATAGCCCCAGGAACCCACGGCTCTAGCCTTGGGACCACGATTCAATCACTTGTTTGCCTTGTTCTTCTGGGCCTTGAAAGTCGCAACCTCCTTGTCCACACTCTCATGGTATCGCTTCTTCAACTCGGGGCGATATCCGAAGAAGAAGAGGATTTCCATCCAAATGAAGAGGGGAGCGAGCAGCAGAGCCTGGACCAGGTTATCCAGCAGCGCAGGGGCCCTTTTCTCAAAGGCACCATGGCCGACAAACTGCGCCAACCATGAAACAACGTGAATTCCACCAAACCAGTAGTTCGCGGTCGTGCCATAGGTACTGAGGAGATGATTCGCACCCGCCGCGCCGCCGATGATGAGCGGCGTCACCAAAGCACCGGCAACAGGCTCCAAGAGGATGTAGAACGTCGAGTATACTATAGCAGCGATCGTCCCAAGATTAAGCGGGAGATTTTCAATCCGCAGAGCCTCAGGGGTGGGGATGAGGGTGGGCGTGTTGGAAGCCTGGTGAGGAGCATGGTGTCAGGTAGATAAGTTGCTGGCTGTTTGGGCTTCAGTGTCATACCAGGGCAATGCCCGTGAAGAGAAGTATCGGCACACATGTCATATGAATCGCGACATTCACCTACACATATTAGCAAATAAGCTCTTGCGACTGTATGGATAGGCAACAGTCGACATACGGGATTGTTGTGGTAGGCGCCATACTGAATGATGTGTTGGTTAGCGACCGAGAGTTCCTCCATAGGGGGGCGGCGGGTGCCGCAGAAAGGGCCTCACAAAGAGAAGCTGCTTCTCGAGGTTCAGAGCCATGGTAGCACAGAAGACGCAGGGGTATTTTCAGGCAAGGCGAGGGCAGTGAGACGAGAGAAGGGTCAATATTCTGGCCGAGAAGACTACTTTTCTTTTCCCCACAACAATAGGTTGCCTGATCAGGTGGAAGAATAAGACATCTTATGCCACACCGTTCGTTGCTTGTGCAAACGTCATTCGTAGAACAGAATCAGAAGGGCCGAGGATATTCTGAATCCTTACCCCTCGTGTCTTATGATTGTACCAAGGTACCGTACAAGTCCCGCACAACGGAGTAATTCACCCACCAATCGAGCACCCTAGGCGTATGGGCGTGTATCTGTACGGTAACTTCGAGGGCTCTCCGCCCATGTCATGTGACTCGATCGAGCTCCTGCGGATCAGACACGGTGATTGTCGCTCGATTGACGGCGAAGTCAAATCAGCTGCTTGCTTCCGTGGGCTGCCTTCTCTTTCAAACTGGGTCGCTTCTTGTTTTGATATCACTTCTGCATTGTTCTTTGTGACCTACGCATCCCTCCGATTTCCACACGAACCCCACGAGGTGTTGGTCTCTCTCATTGAGCTTCAATTGCATCGGCTCTTTGCGCATTCAGCATCACGATTACGGTCGCTACGCCATTTCCTGCATATCAAACTCCACTTCGCCTCGATTACGAGAGTGACCCAGGCGCATTCTTTCGCTCTGATCCAAGTCTACAGTAATTAACGCTACTGGGTCCGATCCCTTGCGCTATACAAACCCGCGACTTCAGATCATCGCGCGTCTTGTTTCGGGAAGCAGACGAAAAATTAGACAATCATGTTCTTCCTCAAGGAGGAGATCAAGGTCATTGCCTTGCATCCGTCCTATTTTGGACCCAATATGCGGGATTATCTCATCACCCGGTTAAATGAGGAAGAAGAAGGCCGGTGTACGGGCGACCACTTTGTGATCTGCGTCATGGACATGGTAGATATCGGCGAAGGGCGCGTGCTGCCCGGTAGTGGACAAGCGGAATATACGATTAAGTACCGTGCGATTATCTGGAAGCCGTTCCGAGGAGAGACTGTACGTTGCGCAGAGTCGGCAGCATGGCTACTTTCTGACGCTGACGGTGGGAATTGCAGGTTGATGCCATCGTAACCTCCGTCAAGCCTACTGGAATCTTCACCTTGGCGGGCCCATTGTCTGTGTTCATCGCGCGAAAGGTATACCGAACATGAGTCGTAGGGGAAGCTGGTCTGAACTTGCACGCTAACGGACTGATAAGAACATCCCTTCTGACATCAAGTGGGAGCCCAACACGGTACCGCCACAATATACGGACCATGCGGACCAGGTCATCGAGAAGGGAACGAGTCTGCGACTCAAGATTCTGGGCGTGAAGCCCGACGTTGCGGCGATCAACGCCATTGGTACAATCAAAGAGGACTTCTTGGGGTAAGTGATGTGCCATGACTACGGGGAACGTTTACTAATGCGCATGACCCTTGCCAGACCATTGTAAACTGCGTGGCACGGGCAATCCTTCCTTTCTTTTCTTGATCCGATGATACCATCACTACTGCGAAGGAAGCCTGGACCCTTGAAGTCTTTCGTACCACCATTCGCACCACTATATGGGAACGGCCGGACTATTGTTTGCTCAGATTTGGCTTTCGGATCATGCGCTTTCTGAGGCATGGCAGGGGCGCACTGAACCGTATCCACTAGCAGGATGTCATTTGGGAGGATGATGTCCTGCTTTTCCTGGCAAGAAGCCCGCGCAGGCAGACAGGGCTGCCTGGTCGCCGGAGCATAAGTCCCTCCCATGGTCATGGTCTGTATGGCAAGACAATACAAGACAACATGGATGGTGAGTGATTTGAAGCCTTGACCGGCTTCGTAAATTATAAGAAAAAGCGTTGTTGTGTACAGTCAAAAACAAATACGGTAGGCTTAATTTGGATAGATACAAATGATAGATAAGACCTACTGGTTAGTCTTGGATTGTACTGTACTTTAGGCTTGTGCATAATTAGCATTGACGCTGCAATGCTTTTATGCAGATCATGGAGTTCCTCCCAGTTGCCGGAGAAACGGACTGTGAAACGCTGGTGTGTCGGTGATTCCAGTCCATCGTTGGAGCCGCCGTGCGCATGCAATTCCCCAGTCCTTGGCACACACACACACACACCCTCTAACAATCGATATGAAGGCGCTTGCTCGCTTTTCTTTTTCGTGATCTGTCGTTGAAGGTGTTTAGGCATAGCAGGGACACTGAAATGTTTGTACAATCCCTACTGAACCCATTGTCCGTGGAAAAAAGTGGATACGTTTTGATGATAGCGGAACATGGAAGAGTGGTAACAACTAAAGGTATTATTGTAGTAGTAGTATTAGTAGTAATTCAGTTAGTAGTAATACTACGGAGTAAGTAGTCGGGAACTCTGCTACAGAGCCTACCGGTAGAAGCATGGACCAAATTACGCATGTGAATCAGGACGGAGTGGAGGGAATTAATTGGCTGCACCTCCCCGAGTTGTTCTGTCCTGCCTGTCAACCCGTGGTTCGTGGTCCGCTGTACTGGGCACTGCACTGTTTTCCCGCTTCTTATTTGGGGATTCCTCAGTAACACACGTGCGTCTGCAGACACCCTCTTACTCTCTCACTATCTTACTCCCACTTCCAATCTCACTATCTGTCTGTTATCACCCTCCACGTTCTGCAATCTACTTTCCTCCGCCAAACAGCACCTGGTTGTGTTTTGTCCTCTCCCTTTCGGTCTACTTCCCCCCCCACCCCTCTACATTCGTTTCTGAAACTCAATCAACCAACCTACTCGCGAGAATCATGTCTTTGAAAGATGTGTACAAACGCTTCCTGACCAACCCTAAGTCAGTTCCTTTGGCCACCGATGCGTCCTTGATTTACATTCCCACCACTACCAAAGTAGACGGCGACGCCGCGATTGTCAGCCACTTCAGCAAACAGCAGCGCATTGTCAAGACCAAGTCGGAGAACATTTTGGACGCCATTGAAAGTTCTAACTCGCTCTGTTTGGACATCGAAACCACTTTGGAGTTTATGTCTGGCGGCGGGGCGTACCTTCCACAGCTTGATGATAACTTCCTGGCTGATCATGTCGCTGTCTTTCCCACGGTACATATGCGCTCCAAACTATCCTTTCGCCCTCCCTAATATTGAACCGAGCTAAACAAGTCTATGAATTGAAATAGGTCCACATTGTTCGCTTCAATGCCCAACAACAGATCCAGAATGTCCGCATTTACTGGGACCAGGCGTCGCTACTGAAACAGGTCGACGTGATCGGCTCCCGTTCTCGTGGCTGGCCCATTCGTGATGCCAAAGACCAATTCCGCCTCCTCAAATCCGCGATCTCATCGAATCCCAGCGATAGTGGGCCGGGGTCTGCTTCCGTACCCGCCCCGCCAGCGTACACGGAGGAGGAAGCGAATGTTCCGGAGCGCAAGGTTGCCTCCCCCGGCAAGAAGTACATTAAAGACCCTCATGCTGCTGAGTCCCTGGATGAGCTGCTCTCTCCAAGCAAGGATCGTGGAGAGCCCGTACGCGCCCCGCGTGCTCCTGCATCCTCTCAGCGTCCAGCACGCGAGTACGGCGAGATTTTCCTGACTACCGAAAATGATGCGGATGTTCCCGATGCCTCCCCCTCTAGAAGGCGGATTGCCCCTAAGGCCGGCGCAACCAGGAACTTCCTTCCTTCCCGCATCTTTGATGACGATGAGACTGCCGCCAAAGAGGAATGCCACCAGCAGATTGCCTACCGGGCTCATCCCAAGCGTTTCGACCACTTCGAGCTCGGTGCGGATAACAGCACCCGGGAGGTCAAAGAGAAGCTTACTCGCCCAGTGTCGCGCCAAGCACCGCACTGGGAGTTTGAAGATTTCGTGACTCCCGAGAAACCCAAACGCCAACTTCGTGGAGAGGAGATTCGTCACTTTGGCTGGAGCGATGATGAGCCGGACCTCACATCCCCACCGGCTCGACCGCGAGTGGCGCATCCGCGCCCTGATGCTGAGACCCATTTTTCATTGACTGACACACCCGAAGAGAAAGCAGGCGGCCGCATCATCAGCTCATATCAGAACAAGGGCATGGGTCTTTACAAAAGCCATCTTTTCGACAACAAGGAAGATGATGAATTCTCTCAGGGCGCAAACCCACCCCTTTCTACAGTCAACAAAAATGGTGCCAACCGTAAGAAGGAGCTTGAGACCCACTGGGACATGGCCGACGAGTCGCCTCGGGATAGCAAACGCAATGCGGAAAATAAGAAGCCTGTTCCCGGTGACCGTCAAAAGGCCGTCAAGGCGCTGGAGCCATCTTGGGATACTTACGACCAGTCACCGGAACCCACGAAGATGGCGCCTCCTCAGCGTCGCGCTCTAAGGAACCACAACCAGCGGAGCTGGGACTTCGGCGCTGAAAACTGATCGCCACATCGCTAAGCCGCGCCATGCAAATCTTCGCTCAGTCTATGCATATAGCCCATGCGTATACCCAATTCTTTAGCAAGGCCTTTGGCTAACTCTAGAGCCTGCCTCGAGAACAGAACTATCAGGACAGCGGACCGTGAACAAAGTAGGGGCCAACATCCATATACGGCTGAAAGAAATGTCTGAAAGTCCGCATGTCTTAAGAAGGAGGACTTATGCCTTTGCAAGCACTGTATCCTTGCATGCCGGATTCTTGCCCTGTATCTTATAGCGTTTCACTGCATGTATTGAAATTATTTGCGCGATCTCAACTCGGCATCGTTATGCTCATAGTATCCTGTATACTGGTGCGATCTGGGCAAACTGCTAGTGCATGGAATGCATACTATACAATGAACTCAACAGAAGCATTAAGCCAGGTAGATTTTGCCGCCAATACCGTCCATGAATCATAGTTATAGCAGACACTTTGGCTGTCTTGCAGATGGACGTCCTCATCATGGGAATCGGACGTTCTAACGGCTAGCTCAGGTCTCGGATAATATTCAAGGAGAATTTGAGGTATCGCCCTCAGTTTCGTTGCTTATCGATTGGTCCGGCCGAAAATGAGTCAACCATGCAGTAAGCAGTAAGCATGGCCCGCGCCAGCTAGTTTCGGGGCTTCCGTTAGACGGGCGGTTGCATACTAGTCTGGTATAGTAGCTTGGACTGGCCCCCCTCTCAACCCCGTCAGCCTCGCTTGACTACATTTCCTTTTCTTTTTCCTTTCTTTCCCCTGCCAGCCAAGCTGCAACCTGTCCGTTCCTACTGCAGTATTGACTTTGTTCCTTGATTGCCATTGTCCTTACGTCAGCTGGTCTCTGCAGACCGCCTTGGAGGTGATAACGGAGATAATAACCTAATCACTAATCACGACGTCCTCTAACTAACGTTAACTAATGACTGCGTAGACTACCTACCGCAGAATCGCTTCCTCAATCTCACTCGACTGACGTGCCTCTTCAGGTATCGACGCAAGTGGGCCTGGTCATTTTATCTATCGCTTGTCTCATTTCGACTGATAAGACCGGTTTGACCGGCGGCCTGCCACTGTCTTTCCCCCCAAAAGTGCGATCGCGAAGGCAGCTCGCCGATCGTACCCCTCATCGGATTCCTTCTCTTCCTCCTCATCGTTCATTGTTCGGCACTTTCTTTTCTTTTCTTTTCGATCCCTGTGCGACGTGAGTCTGTGCCGTTGTCTATATACTCGAGTCCATACTAGCCCGGCTCTTCCAAATCCGATCAACACGACAAACCACCATCTTCTTCGGTCGCCTATCGCTGCGCGCCCATCGATCGTACCATAAGCCTGCTCGATCGCGTCCGACACGACAAGCGCGATTCAACCGCTGATTCGAGTTCTATTTTGCAAGAAGGGCTTTGGATAACCAGGCTAGGTGTTACTTACGCTTGCGGGCTTACACGGGACCGCGCGCCGATTTCATTAGTCTGGTCGTCTAGCTCGTCACATTCGGTAACAGCTTGCGCCGGGTGCAAGACGAACCCTCTAACTGCTAGGACTTCTTTCAACCAACAATATTGCAAAAATATTCGTCTCTAAGTTCTACACAGCTCCCAAGCAGGCTCATAAGTAGCTTTTGGGCAAGCCATATTTCTCCGTCGAGTCCCCACCCAAAACGACCCTCGCGGGCGGCTTGTTTCAACCAACCGGTTGATTAAATATACCTCAATATGTCTCCGACACCACCATCGACAACCTCGTCGAGCGCTGGCGCATTCTCCCCGGAAGGGCAATTCAGAGTCATTAGGAAAAGAAACCGAGTTCCTCTGTCATGTGCGCCGTGTCGGCATCGGAAGTAAGCATTTCTCTCGCTGGCCACCTTTCCAATGCGCTAATGTGATCAGGCTGAAATGCAACCGTGCTCATCCCTGTGAGAATTGCATCAAGCGAGGCGATGCGACTTCCTGCTCGTACGCCCAAGCGAGTGCGCGGAAAAAGAACGTGTCCCAACCGTCGGCTTCGAGCTCCCCTGATGATATGCAGAACAGGATCGATCGATTGGAGAGCTTGGTGCTGTCGCTCATGACGAATGGATCCCAATCGGCAGGCCCCGCGGCCGCGATGGCCGCGATCTCTGGCAATAGCAGTAGCACGGGGTCTGCACCGCACACAGGGGATATTGACATAGAAGACGAGACGCCTGGGGGTCCCGACGAAAGCGATACCGAACAGGTTACAAAGTCGTTTGGTATTATGAAAGTCGACAACAACAAGTCCTATTATATCAGTGAAGTGCATTGGGCGTCGGTTCTCAGCGATGTAAGTTGCTTGCGCGTATCAGTTACCATCTCCTGTGGCTAACGCCTGCTTCAGATTGCCGAAGTTCGAAATTACTTCCATACGCACAAGAAACAATATGAGGAGCAGACCGAGAAGTTGAAGACAACTCAGCTTCCCACTGACGTCCAGGGATCTGCTTTACTCTTCGGGGCTATGAAACCTGCGAGTCGGGCGGAAATAATGTCCTCCTTTCCCTCTAAATATACGACCGATATGTTGATCGCGCGGTATTTCAGTTGCTATGATCCATCAACACGTAAGTTTCAGAGATGTCAGGCATACAAATTGCATCAATACTCACTCGGATGTAGATATCCTGCATGGGCCCACCTTTCAGACACAAGTAAGGCGCATCTCTCTATAATCAAACATGAGTATGGTAACGCTAACTCCAGCCAGTATAACAAACACTGGGAAGATCCGTCCCAGACCTGCACCATTTGGATTGGCATGCTTTTCGCCATGATGCGACTGGCCATGCTCTCGTACCACCGCGACGGAGATGAGCCTCCGGAATTCAGGGGCAAGTCCCTAGATATGGCTGGCACTTTCAGGAGCCTTGTGGCTCAATGTCTTACCTTGGCTGACTATACCAAACCATTCCCGTATGTGATTGAGAGTTTGATCTTTCATCTTCATGGTGACTTCTGTCAAACCAGGGAAGCAGATGTGTCGGTGTGGGTTCTTGTTGGGGTGATTGCGCGATTGGCCATGAGGATGGGCTACCACCGTGACTCGAAGATGTTCCCAAATATCACACCTTTCCAGGGCGAGATGCGCCGTCGCGTTTGGACATTCGTACGGCAGGCGGACCTACTGTTCTCTTCTCAAGTCGGGTTGCCTAGTATGATTCGCTCCACTGATAGTGATACTGAGCTTCCACGAAATTTGTACGACGACGACTTCGATGAGAATTGTCAGGAGCTTCCGCCCTCACGTCCGGCGAATGAACCGACGCCCATATCGTTTTTGATCGCTAAAGCACGGCTCACGTACACCTTCGGCCACGTTGGCGAGCAGGCTTCACGTCTTCAGAGTGCATCCTCTTACGACAAAGTAATGGAGCTCGATGCCGAGCTCCGCCAAGCTCGGGATCTAATCCCAGAGCACCTTCTTGTTCGCCCTATCGAGGATTGTCCATTAGACTCCCCGAACTTGATCATGTCACGATTTGCAGTGAGTTTTTCTCTTGTTTGATTGTCCCATGCATTATTGACGGTTTCCAGGTTGTGAGCGTGTACCACAAAGCACAATGCGTTCTTCACCGACAGTATCTTATCCGAGCGCGTGAAAATCCCCGATTCACATACTCGAGGCGGACCTGCATTGACTCTGCAATGGAACTGCTGCGATACCAATCGATGCTTCACAACGAGACCCGACCCACAGGTCGTTTGCGCAGTCGATACAACAAGCTGACCTCTCTTGGCTCTTCTGATTATCTACTCGCCGCAACCATTCTTTGCCTCGACCTATACCATGGGCAGCAACTTCAGGCGTCTGGTCGAACCTCTAGCGATTCTTATGCCTGGGGCCGGGAACGGCGGGAAGAAATGGTGGCTGCACTCCAACGAACCCAGGAGATTTGGGATGAGCTTCGTGATGAGACAATCGATGCATGGAAAGCTGCTGGAGCTCTAGGAGTGATGCTTCCCAAGCTGAACCTGGGATTTGCCGAAAACAACACTGCGCCGGCGCCGGCGTTTGAGCCGCAGGATGAGAAACAAAGCGCCGCAATGACATTGGGACTTTTGAGCAGTGGGATGAGCCCCATGACTACAAGTCAATCAGCTCTTAATGATTCAACATACAAGGTGGCAGATACGCCACTGCCCATGCAAGGCGGTTTCACCAATGCTGCAGAGATTCCGGGGGCACCTTCGCCCTTCAGCGCGATGTTTGGGCAGGTGCCTGACATGCAGTTGAATCTAGACTGGGTAGGCTCCCACATGAATACTCACAACGAAGACTCGCAACTGACTATTTTGATAGGACGCCTGGGATACTTACATTCAGAGTTCAGCAATGGATATTCCCTCGCAATGGTGGCCGTCCGGAGACATGCAACAGCAGCAAGCGGGACAAAGTCCTTTACCATCAACACAATTGCCCACAGCACAGAACAGCGCTCCTGACAGAATGCGTCCCATGCCTCGCGGCCCGAATATGTTCACTCCGGACGCTACTAGCTATGAGAACAACAACGTCGCCATGTCTACGGCAGGCTATCCTGTCAACCCGTCACATCTTAACAACCCAGGTAACGGTCCAGGGACTTAGGTATTTGTGATGCTCAAGATTGTTTGTCTTTCTAGGATATGAGAATATTTAATGAATCAAAAGTTGGTAAGGAATTTGGATATCATCTTGTGTGGTTTCTGCTTGGCACGCTGCAAATTACTGCGAGATTCTCCTGCAGTTTCACAGGTTGGGCGACAGGACGCCGTTGGGTGTCCTCTCTTCTGGGGCTTACGTTTATCTCTCTACCGGCGCAGTCACGATCGTATTTCGCGTGTTGATCTAGGTTCTGTCTGGAGGTCCGGTTCGAGATAAGGATGTATATTATACAACAGCGATACAACAGGTTATGCATATACTAATCATCTACACTCTATACTGAAGTCTCTTGTGGAGGTTGTTATTAATAACTTATCCTCACATGTTGTACCGTGCACACTCCGACTTGAAAAGGAGACAAAGCGCGCGCGCGCCAGACATATCTCCATGCTCTGATATGGTGAAAGGTATGGGTGGGATACTTTTCAAAGACCCATAGTGTCAGAATTTGCAGTATGCAATGCAGAGGACAATAGAGACATTGTGAATTTCGTTCAGAGCAACCACTTCAGTATGGCGTGACTTCTCTCGTCCCCACGATGGTTGTCTATTACCGATTGGGTATGGCTTGGATCACAACACGTGACCAGCTGATAAGGGAAGTTTTCGCTGATGCCGGTCCCCGGGGACGCGATATTTTGCTAGTTGCCACATTTTCTCGTGTCGTAAAAAGTTCCGTCCATTCTGTCAATTCTCATCACCCGAGTCAAAAATGTGAGTTGTTCCATCACAGCTGTTGGAGTCTTTTATCTAATTTCATTGGCTTCATCCAGGTATTGCCTTCGTCAAGCCGCCTCCCGGTTGTTGCTCTCTTCCAACAGAGTCGCCATCCGCTCGGCACCGCGCTCTACCCCGTCGAGTGCCTTGCGCCTCAATTTCGCCAGCAGACCTATTCAGTCTCAGCTTCAGAGCCGGTGGAACAGCGATGATGCCCACAACAAGCAAGCCAGCAACGAGAGCATCGCCGAAGCTGTTGCTCAGCACGCCGAGCAGCGGGAGGCCGCCTCGTTTGGAGAGGAGGCCACACTCGATCAATATGCGGCCCAGGAATCTGAGCAGCATGACCGCGAGGAGCCTACCCTCCGGAGGTCCAACGGCTACAACAGTTACAAGTACAGACCCGAACCGGAGCCGAAGACCACTATCTTCATTGGCAACCTCTTCTACGACGTCACAGCTGAGGATCTCAAGAATCAATTCTCGAAATTCGGAACGGTGAGGCGTGTCAACCTCATCCATGACCAGCGGGGAATCAGCAAGGGGTAAGCAAAATTCTCGTCCTGGATTTGCCGCTGGCAGAAAAACATAATGTCTCTCCCCTTGACTTGTGAAATCTAACTTGTTCCTTTCTTTCCGTAGATTCGGCTATGTGGACTACGACTCGGTCGAGGCGGCGCAGCGCGCCATTCAAGAAATGCACCTGCGTATCTTCGAGGGACGCCGGGCCAGCGTTCAGTTTGCGCAGACGCAAATGAAACAGCAAAGAGACTCGCGCCCCTCGAAGTCGCTGTACATCGGTAACCTGCCTTTCGAAATGACCGACAGTGACCTCAACGAACTGTTCAGCGACATTGTCAACGTGATCGACGTGCGCGTGGCCATTGATCGCCGCACCGGACAGCCTCGCGGCTTCTGCCACGCTGACTTCGTTGACCTCGAGAGCTCCCGCAACGCCATGGAGGCTCTCAGCAGGAAGATGCCCTACGGAAAGAAGCTGCGCATTGACTACAGCACCAAGCACAAGGGTCTTAACCGCCAGGAGTCGTCAGAGAATGCGGAGACTGCGGAGAGTGCGGGGATTGCAGAGCCCTCGGAGGCAGACCAGGTTGACCGCACCAACCGTGTTGAGTGATTCAACTCGGCCTAGGGTCTGGCGAGCGTAGTATATTTGGCTTCATTTTATTCGTGTATAATACAGAGAGACATGCCGTACGGTCCATCATCCCACTCATCATCTTTTCCATAAGAAAAATAGATCTAGACAATGTACACGTGACTCCAGCGGAGCCTCGGTATCTTTCCCGGCGGTCGGCTGCGAAGCCGCGCCGAAACCCCACGTCTTGCGCTTAGAGAGCATCTCGGGCGAGTCTCCTCGCCCACTTCTTCTCTCCTCACTCTTATCTCCTTCTCGCCCTCCCTTATACGACCGAATCCCGTCACTTCAGTCTTCTCTGCATATGAAAGATTCTACGTGACACCTAATAGCGCGACCGCTGCACACATCCCCACAACATGTCGTTCCTAGGTGGCGCCGAGTGCTCTACGGCAGGAAACCCGCTGACGCAGTTTACAAAGCATGTCCAAGATGACAAGTCTCTGCAGCGAGACCGGCTCGTCGGACGCGGCCCGGGAGGTATGCAAGAAGGCATGCGGTCTCGAGGTATGATGGGTGGACAAGATCAGGTATCTTCCATGCTTCCAGGGAGAATTCTTCCCCGTGGGAAGAAGAGGCCTACCGCCGTATATCCTTTCAAGACTAATGATTGAATCTCTACGTCTAGATGATGGACGAATTCGCCCAACAACCCGGGCAGTTACCGGGCGCGGCCCCCCAGCCCTTCGCGATGGACCAACTGAGACGTGAACTGGATCAGTTCCAGAACGCGCCTCCTCGAACGGGATCTCCGGGGTGGGCGGCGGATTTCGATGCCGGCGAGCATGCACGGATGGAGGCCGCCTTTGCCGGTCCCAAGGGACCCATGATGAACGCGCCCTCGGGCTTCACACCGGCGGAATTCGCCCGGTTCCAACAACAGAACAGAACAGGCATGCCCCAGGCGGCTCACTCGGTGGCTTCGGCTCCTTCCCCGATGCTGGCGGGTTACCAGCGTCCCGTGGGTATGGGGTACATGGGTATGGGTGGTATGGGTGGTATGGGCATGATGCATCAGAACTTCGGGCCGATGGCCATGCACCAGCAGCAACAACAACCGGCCGAAGCGCTTACGCAGGACAAGGGCAAGGGTCGGATGGTCGAACTCGATGACGAGAACTGGGAGGCGCAGTTCGCCGAGATGGAGACGGCGGATACCCAGAAACTGGATGATGCGGCTAACGCTGCTATGGAGGCGGAGCTGAATGAGCTGGACAGGTCAGTCCCCACCACCACCGGCATCGAGGAGAATTTCGATGCGTTTGAAAACGTGTGGCAAAGAGTCCAAGCTGAGGCGGCTGTCAATAGGAAACTGGCGGAGGGTGAGACCGATTTCAACGTCGATGAGAACCTTCATATGGGCGATATGGGTGACTGGGATGGCTTCGAGACCCTCAATACCCGATTCCGCAACCCGCAATTAGGCGAATACCTGTTCGAAGAAGACAACGTCTTCCAGAACGTTAACAACCCTTTTGAAGAAGGTGTGAAGATCATGCGGGAAGGTGGCAACCTATCTCTGGCTGCCCTGGCCTTTGAGGCCGCTGTACAGAAGGACCCTCAACATGTGCAGGCCTGGACGATGCTGGGAACGGCGCAGGCCCAGAACGAAAAGGAATTGCCCGCTATTCGGGCCCTGGAGCAGGCGTTGAAGATCGATGCTGGCAACTTGGATGCTCTTATGGGCCTAGCTGTCTCTTACACCAACGAGGGCTACGATTCTACCGCCTACCGTACCCTCGAGCGCTGGCTCTCAGTCAAGTACCCGCAGATCATCGACCCCAAGGATGTGTCGGAGGATGCCGATCTTGGGTTTACGGATCGTCAGCTGCTCCACGACCGGGTCACGGACCTCTTTATTCAGGCTGCTCAATTGTCCCCATCCGGTGAGCAGATGGACCCGGACGTGCAGGTCGGTCTCGGCGTTCTGTTCTACTGTGCAGAAGAGTATGACAAGGCTGTTGATTGCTTCTCGGCTGCGCTGGCTTCGACGGAGTCTGGAACCACGAACCAACAGGAGCAGCTGCATCTGCTCTGGAACCGCCTTGGTGCCACGCTCGCCAACTCGGGTCGATCCGAGGAGGCTATCGAGGCCTACGAGCAGGCCCTGAACATCAACCCTAACTTTGTCCGAGCTCGTTACAACCTGGGCGTCTCGTGCATCAACATCGGGTGCTACCCGGAAGCCGCTCAACACCTTCTAGGAGCTTTGTCTATGCACCGGGTAGTCGAGCAAGAGGGCCGCGAACGGGCGCGCGAGATCATCGGAGGCGAGGGTGGCATCGCGGACGAACAGCTTGAGCGCATGCTTCACGTCAGCCAGAACCAAAGCACAAACCTGTACGACACGTTGCGGCGGGTCTTCAGCCAGATGGGACGGAGGGATCTGGCCGATCAGGTCGTGGCGGGGATGGACGTCAATGTGTTCCGGAAGGAGTTCGAGTTCTAGAGCGATTTGCTTACAGGAGCATAGCAGCCCGATAAACTTTTCTCCTATTCTCATGTGTCTATGTTTCAAATGAGGTGATGGGTTGATACCATTACATGGCAGCGCTGGATCACATTGCGAATACGACCAGTCTGCAGAATATAACCAATTGACATGGCCCTTCTTCTCTCCTCATAGACCCGATCAGGAGGAGTCAGCGTACTGTAGTTATTCAGAAAATATGGGTGCCTTGGGCAGGCAGGCAGACACAAAACCGGCTGTTGCGTCATGCCGGGCAATGCATTGAGTTGTTAATGTTTCTGCCTCGGCCGTTGTTTGTTCTCCTTCGGTGCTTCTCAGCTCTTCTTCCCCACACCACCCCCTTAACTATTCTCCTGGGCTGCTGAGCAGCCAGTGTTTCTTTTTCTTCTTATCTACTACTCTAATCTACGCTAAGCTTTTGCCAAGCTCTTAATCACACATGGGACAATGGCTGTGGTCACAGGCGCCCAAATCATCGCCCGGACGCTGCGCGATCTAGGGGTCACCGTTATCTTCGGCATTGTTGGCATCCCCGTGGTGGAAATTGCCGAGGAGGCCATCAACTTGGGCATTCGCTTCGTGGCTTTCCGAAACGAGCAGGCCTGCAGCTATGCGGCCAGTGTCTACGGATACATGACCGGACGACCAGGTGTCTGTCTGGTCGTTGGAGGACCGGGCGTTCTCCATACTTTGGCCGGGGTGAGCCCCGTCGCATCCAACCAGTCTACTGCTAACTAATCACTCACCACTGAATGTCTGAACAGATCGGAAACGCGACAGCGAACAACTTCCCGCTTCTTGTGCTGGCCGGCTCGGCCGAAACGACCGCCATCACCAAGGGCGCGTTCCAGGAACTCGACGCCATCTCGTTCCTGACGCCGCACACCAAGCTCGCGGTGCGCGCCTCATCGCTGGACTTCATCCCCGGAGCGGTCAAGAATGCCTACCGGACCTGCTGGTACGGCCGTCCGGGGCCGACCTTCGTCGACCTGCCGGCGGACATCATCCAAGGCCAGGCGCCGGCGGACGCTTATCGCCTGCCCCAGCCGGAGACGATGGCCGTGGCGGCGCCGCCCAAGGCCAGCGGCGACCCGGCGCTGATCCTCAAGGCCGCGCAGCTGCTCAAGACAGCCAAGGCGCCGCTCGTGATCATCGGCAAGGGCGCCGCGTACGCGCGGGCGGAGGCGCAGCTCCGCCGCCTGCTGGACCAGGCGGGCATCCCCTTCCTCCCGACCCCGATGGGCAAGGGCGTGCTGCCGGACTCGCACGAGCTGAACGTATCCAGCGCGCGCAGCGCCGCGCTTAGGACCGCCGACGTCGTGCTCGTGCTCGGCGCCCGCCTCAACTGGATCCTGCACTTCGGCGAGCCGCCCAAGTGGTCGCCCTCCGCCAAGATCATCCAGGTCGACCTCTGCGCCGAGGAGATCGGCCGCAACGCCGGCTCGGCCGAGCTAGGCATTGTCGGGGATATCGGCCTGGTGGTCGACCAGCTCGTCGCCGCGCTGTCCAACTGGCGCTACTCGCCTTCCTCCTCGACGGCGTCGGTCAACAACAACGACGACGACAACCAACGCCAAACCTTCCTTGACGTGCTGGCCGCCTCGACCCGCAAGAACCAGCAGTCTGCCGCCCAGGCGGCCGGGCGCCGCACCCCCGCACACTCCCCAATGACGTATCAGCGCGCCTTCCACCTGATCAAGTCGACTCTGGACGAGCTGACGCGCAGCGACGACAGCGGCGAGATCGTGTATGTGTCCGAGGGCGCAAACACAATGGACATCTCCCGCTCAATCTTCACGGTTGACCATCCGCGCCAGCGACTAGACGCAGGCACCTACGCGACGATGGGCGTCGGGATGGGCTACATCGTCGCGGCGCACGAGGCGTACAACGCCCTCCCTTCTTCTGCAGCTACCTCGAAGCCCAAGAAAATCGTCGCCTTCGAAGGCGACAGCGCCTTCGGCTTCAGCGCCATGGAGATCGAGACCCTAGCGCGCTACCGCATCCCCGCGCTGATCTTCGTGGTTAACAACTCCGGAATCTACCACGGCGACACAACCTCCGCTGCCGCCTGGAAGACGCTGCAGGACCAGACCGCCCGGAATGATACCAAGTCTGTGGCGGCGGACGGTGAAGATAGAAATGGAGACGGAGAGGGGAAACGCGGCCTCCGCTCGACTAGTCTGCTGTATGAGACGCGGTACGAGATGCTGGCGACCATGTGCGGTGGACGCGGGTTCCTCGTCCGCACTGAGGAGGAGTTGCTCGAAGCTACGCGGGAGGGGTTCAGGGCTGATACGGTTACGGTGGTGAATGTGATTGTTGAGCCGGGGATTGGGAAGAAGATTGGGTTTGCGTGGCAGAATAATAGTGGGGGTGGTGGTGAGAAGGGACAGGCGAAGTTGTAGTTTTGTGCTGTATTTTGGGAGTCTGTGTGTGTATCTTATGTTCTTTGTATATTTAGATATCTAGGCTCTACCACCTTCATCCACTTGTTTCCATCTCACACAACTGTATCCGACAGGCACTCATAAAACTATTCCCGCCACCCCGGGACTCCCTTTCAAGAGAGACTGTGAGAGAATCAGAAAGAGGGAATCACCGCAAAACCTCCTCCAAAACCTTAGCAACAGCAACCGCCTTCTCCTCCCCAAACCGCCCACCAACCACCTGCACCGTAACAGGCATATCTTTAACCAACTCGATATCATCTTAGACGATCAGTCAGCTCAGCGCAACCCAGCGCAGCGCAGCGCAGCCCCTTACCCCACCCATAACCCCCAGAAAAGAAAGAGAAAATACTCACACTGCTCAAAATTATACCGATCCGCCGCATTCCGCGGCATATGCGCCGCCCACCCGGCATCCAACGCCGGCTGATCCAGCACCGCGTCCGCCCGCGTCACCGGCACCGTGACAGCCGCGTAATCGAGTAGGTTCCAGAGCGCCGTGTACCCCAGCCACTGGTTGCTGAGTACCCACGAGCGCGGCCGGTAGCCGACCCATGGCGTGACGGGCGTGAGAAGGGCGTCGATGCGGGCCGTTCTCCATTGCGCGAGGTAGGTTTCTTGGTAGGTGGATTTTGTTTCTTCGAGCTGGATCATTGGCTTTTGTTAGGGTCCGGTTGGGGTGTGTTTGAGGTTTCAGGATTTCCGCGGTTTCGGGGTGTGGGATGGCAAGGGTTTGGATATGATGTAATGGGAGGAATGGGATAGGCAGACGAACTTTCTCGCGCTCTTCAACAGATAGCTCGTCGTCCGGCGTCCCTACTACCATCCCCTCGATCAGCGGCTCGCCGACAATGTCACATAGGTACCGGCAGTGTTGGCCGCCGTCGGCCAGGATGGCTTTTGTCCAGAGCTTGGTGCCTTGTTCGTGGAGGGTGGTTGGCCATTCGATTACTATATTGGTTTTCTTGTCAGTTACTTAATGATTTGGGAGTGGGTGAGTGGTTATGTGGGTAGCTGGAATTCAAGATGGAAAAGGGGAAGGATGGCAACCTTCGTGACCTGCCTCCTCCAGTTTCCGCGCTACCTCGCGCATCGCCCGCGCAATCGGCGGCTGCGGCTTGACGACCCCGTCGTCGTGGACGATCCCCACGCGGAGCTTGCGCGAGGTCGGCTTCGCGGCCAGCTCGGTGCGCCACGGGATCGGGAGGCAGTCTGGGTCCAGGGTCCAGGGTTCCGAGGCCAGGAGGGAATGCATGAAGTGCTCGACTGAGGAGAGGCTGCGGGCCATGGGGCCGGCTACGGGGGGCACGAGGTAGTGCTGGTGCATGCTGTGTGTTTGTGGCCGTCATGAGCTGGCTGTCTTGTCATGTAACTCACCGGATGGTCTAGCACAATACGGCCACCACCGGATCAGAGGGAATGCACATACAAAGAACAGTTCCAAGGGACCCGTCCCCTACTCGGACAGATCGAATACAGGCCCTGCAGGTTAGCAGGGATCCGGATCGAGCCGCCGATGTCCGTCCCTATGCCCAGGATACTGCCCCCGGTGCCGATCAAGGCGCCCTCGCCGCCGGAACTGCCGCCGGAGATGAGCTGGCTGTTGAAGGCGTTGATCGACTGTCCGAAGACGTGGTTGTACGAGTCGGACATCTGCAGCTTGGGTCAGTCTACTGCCTGTCTAGCCCTAGATCTCCAGAGTAATGATAAGCTGGGAGCACTAGCCATAAGCGACTGCGGCACATTCGTCTTGACATACAGCACTGCTCCCATCGACTCCAGCAGCACCGCAATCGAGCTCGACTTCTTCGCGGGCTTGCCCACCAATCCGACCCAGCCTGCAATGCGCTCAGTTCCAGCCGATTGAAACAACTTCCCCAGAAAGACAGAACAGGACACAAACCAACTGTGGTATCGAATCCCTCCAGGTCGAACCGATCCTTGATCGACACCGGCAGCCCGTGCAGCGGCCCGACCACCTTTCCCGTCCGCTGCAGCACCTCGTCGAGTTCTCTGGCGCGAGCTAATGCCCGGTCGAAGAAGATCTCCGTCAGGCATTTGGTCAGCTGCTGCGCGATGGCGGCGCGCTTGCAGAACGCTGTCGTGAGCTGCACGGCGCTGATCTTGCCGGCTGCGAGCTGCGCCAGGAGCGCCGTTGTCTCGGCTGTGTCTGTCCATTGCAGCTCCTGCTCGGTCAGGATGCCGCAGGTGCGGATCGTGGTGAGTGTGTTGCCGGTTGGGGTGGGCGTGGGGAGACGCCAGGCTTCGGGGATGGCGGCTAGTTGGGCCTGGCGCTTTTGGTAAACGGTGGGTTTCCACGGTGGGAGGGTGTCGGTCGTTGTCATTGTCATTGTGTTTTTGGTGTTCTGGTGTTCTGAAGTTGAGGCTTGGTGGTGTTGGAGGAAGAAAAGGGGAGATGAGGAGTTGGTCGAGCGGGGTCCATGCGGAGAAGTAGTATACGCAACGACTTATATATACCAGAAAATAAAAGAAAGATAGGCAGATATAGTAGTTAGGAATGAACCGGATTGGGCCATCCTTTCTGGCTCTCCTCCTCCAAATGCCTTAGTTCACTATCTACCTATAAGTCGGAAAATAACATCAACAGCACCGCCAATCATGGGATGTGCTCGGCCAGCCTATCTCTCTATCAAGTCATCTGCAGAGTAGTGCCGAGGTTCCGGATAGTACTGGAGATAAGATAAATAATAGTAATGCTGCATGCCTGGTATCTCGTCTATCTTACAATCCTTGTCTTCACTACCCCTTCACACGGTCATCAGCATGCTGGCGTTCTTGTACCACGTCATCATCGGATTTTCGCCGTTTTTCGTCTCGGTGTCTTCGATGTACGACCAGCGCTGCATGAAGGCTCCGTGGCTCACCACCTGCGTCAACTTGCCGGTAATCGCCCGGTACATGTCTTCCACCACGTCGAAGTCAGTCGGGAAGAAGATATCGAAGTATCCTTGATGAACCTGCGTCACAGTCAGTCAGACAGCGCACCAGAGACTCAGACAAGATAGTAAAGGAACATACATAAGGCGTCGTCACGGTGATTGTGCGCCGGTCGTACCGAGTCTGCACCACTGGTGCATTCAACCCGGGAACTGCATTGGGAAGGCTGCTGAAGTCACTAGCCACCAGACGGTGGCCCGGGAAGTAAGTGTTCAAGATATCGAAGAACTGCATGAGTCGCGTGGGGATGTACTCCGGCGGCGAGTACTTGGGCTGATCCGACAAATAAGGGCGAAATTTCCGCATGAGCTTGGAGCCCAGCGGGGAAGGGAACGGCCGCCGCGCCGCAGCCTGTCGCACACGCAAGAACCGAGCGGCCACTGGGTCCAAATTGGACTGGTACCATTCGTGAAATTCGCCGTCCGCATCAATCAGGACACCGCCTTGCTGCGGGCGTTCCGTCTTGAGATCGTAGCGGATGACGTCGTGCGAGAAATTATCGAACACCTCCAGCGCAAGGAAAAAGCACGGAGAATGCACATAGGTGTTCCAGTCAAAGATCGACTGGTTGATGATCTCGATGCGCTCGCGGTGTCCGGCCGATTCGGCCGATTCGAGCAAATTGTGCAGCTGCAAGCCCGCCAGATTCGGCGAAATCTCAATGATCTTGTACTTGGTGCGCTGGTAGACCTCGTAGTCCATGTCGCGGATGTAGTCCAGCACATTCCTCATCATCGTTCCGTTTCCGGCGCCCATTTCGTAGATGATCAGATCGTGATAGGGGTACAATGTGAGTTTGTAATTCGACACCAGATACCGGGCAATCGTCTCGCCGTAGTAAGGCTGGAAGAGCTCGGTAGGCGTGTGCCAAAGCTGTCGGGACATATCAAAGTCTTCATCGTCTAAACGGTCCTCAAACTGGGTATACTGCTGCTGCAACATGCGGTTGAACGTCGGTCCATCGGCGATCTGGTTGAAAACAAACGGCTCCTCCGGACTGAAGATGGTAGCATGCTTCGAGAAGTAGCCATACTGAAGGTTGTATAAACTGTCTGCAAGCCCCGCCGAGCATTTAGCCATATGCTCCGAAAGTACACGTGGTAGCAACCTGGGGAAGTGTTTTCCTACCGTCAATGAATTCCCGCGCCCACATCTGCACCTGCCGCGGCCGCTCGCGATGATGGCGGAGCTCTTTGGCCGTGACCAACGGAAACGCCCGCAGTTCCTCAGTGATGTTCCTATCGATATGACGGCGGTCGTTCCAAAGCGTGCTATTATCGTCGGAAGCAATCTTCTTCGTGGCCCCCGGCGCTTTCCTGAAGAAGTGTCGACATTGTTGACGGTGATGCTGATGGGATGGCGGGCACAGACGGACGCAACCCGGTCGGCGCGCGGAGAGGGTAGGGGCCGATTTGAATGACTGACAGGCAGGATGCCGGAACAACTGCTTGAGCAGCTGATTGAGGATTGGAGAGTCCATGAGGAGGACGTTTTAGGGGATGTTGGTGGACGATCACACCATGAAAAAGAAAGAAGAGAAAGAATAGACGATGGGAGCACGAGACGAGTCGGAGAGGCGGAGTCGCGCGGGTTGGTCCGAGCTTTTCTCCCGCCCGCCAGCAGCCATTCATCATTATTCGAATGCGCGCAAGACATCGCCATCGCCGCGGGGAAACTACTTTTCGTTAAACCTCGCTCGACTTCTTGCTGCACAGTCATGGATGATCATTCCCATCTCTACATTGGCACTGCCTTTGTGGCCGGTGTTCTTCTTACCATTGGGTTCAAGGACCTGGTGTACCCTGAGCTGGAACAGCGCATTCACGATTATCTAGCTTGTCGCCAATCCGAGCCTGTGACAGACTCCGAGAGCCTCCCTAATGATAGTCTCGTCGCAAGGCCAGGTCCGCCGGCCATTGTCGAAGGCATTGAGGGTTGTATCGGGAACACTCCTCTCTTTCGCATCAAATCCTTATCTGATGCGACTGGCTGCGAGATCTTAGGCAAAGCCGAAGTACGTCATTCTTCCTCTACTACTGTTTTACGAATTCATGACGAACCGCAAGAACCATGAAAATGTTAATATGATTTTCAGTTTTTGAATGGAGCGGGCCAGAGCTCTAAAGACCGGGTTGCACTGAGCATGATCCAAATTGTATGTCTGATCCCTTTTATAGTATGACGTCTTGAGATAGTATCTCACCCTCAGGCTAGGCCGAAGAACACGGTTTCCTGAGACCACATTCAGGTGACACCATTTACGAAGGCACTTCCGGCTCCACGGGCATCTCCCTAGCTTCTCTGGCCCGAGCGAAGGGTTACCTGGCTCATATGTTCGTATCAAATAGATCACCATCTTGCAGCTCCTCCTACTGACCCAACCATAGCTGTATGCCATCCGACCAAGCCATCGAAAAATCCAGTCTTTTATTGAAGCTGGGCGCAATAGTAGACCGTGTCCCACCGGCTCCCATTGTCGAGAAAGACAACTTTGTCAATCGCGCACGATCGCTTGCACAGGAGCAGACTGCGTCTTCAACTGCCAACGGACGAGGATTCTTCGCGGACCAATTCGAGAATGAGGCCAATTGGCGAGCCCACTTCAACGGCACGGGGCCCGAAATCTACGCTCAATGCAACGGAAAACTGGACGCCTTTATTGCAGGAGCGGGAACCGGTGGCACTATCTCTGGCGTGGCACTTTTCCTGAAGCCCCGGATCCCCAATCTAAGTGTCGTCCTAGCCGATCCCCAAGGCAGTGGGCTGTACAACAGAGTCCGCTACGGCGTCATGTTCGACTTGAAAGAGAGAGAAGGCACCAGGCGACGTCGACAGGTGGATACCATTGTCGAAGGCATCGGAATCAACCGAGTGACGGCTAATTTCGAAGCGGGCAAGGAATTGGTGAACGACGCAGTTCGAGTAACCGATGCACAGGCTTTGGCAATGGCCAGATGGCTTGTGGAGAAGGATGGCCTCTTTGTTGGTAGCAGCAGTGCCGTCAACTGTAAGTCTGGCCCAAAAATTCCATGCGGTCCAAATCATGGCTAATTCACCCCACCACAGGCTTTGCTGCCGTCAAGACAGCAATGAAGCTTGGGCCAGGACATAGGATTGTGACGGTCCTGTCCGACTCAGGGTCAAGGCATCTTTCTCGATTCTGGGCAAAGGCAGGGGATGTCGGTGGCGCCGTCGATACCAAGCTTGAAGATGTGTTGAACGCCACGGATGAGGAGTAGGTGTGTTTCATGGCGGGTTCAAAAAACCCTGCGCCAATTTACTTGGGCCCGAGAAGAAAGGACAAAGGGACGGCAAGAGCCTTGAGAGGGTAGACCCCTGGAGGGCGACAAGGCTCAAACAAGCTAATTCCACTAATGGTATTGCTGCTGCTAGTGTCTGACAAGGTGATGTATCGTTCGATCCGTTGCCGCCTAATCCGACAGCCTAGGATATACTCGGGTTCATCCGGAGCACCATGATAGCGAATCGTGATTGTTCGCTTGCGTCAGTTCGAGTAGGGGTCAGCACACGGAAATCGGGATCTGAAAGTTGACGTGCTGAGGCCGATCGGACCCGCTGACAGACTGCATGTCAGAATCGAAGTCCTGACTCAGTTGTGGTTCATCTGCCATTCGATTCGTCGCGACCGATCGAGCCTGTCGTCCAATCATTCTGGTCGCTGGGCAATGTCACAATGTATCCTCGTCAGCCCAGAGCTGCAATAGCTCGAATTCGATCTCGGCATGTGGTCGGCCAGGTAGTCCTTCGCGGATCGTGGTCCAACTAAGGCCTTGTTGCTCTTTGAATTTATCTAGGATGGCCCGCTCCGCTTCGGACCAAGGCTTGGATAATAATGGTGGATTAGCCCGGCGATCACTCCAGTGAGTGCGGTTCCATTGGATTAGAGAAGTCAGCTTCGTATGCGGCAGGCAGTCAAGGATCTCATTCCATTTCTTCCCCTGTACTTGTCTCATTGTGATAATCAACTTCGCTTCATCCGGCTGGATGACGTTTCGAGCGCGTTTCTTGGTAGGAGTGGGGTCATCTTCCACGGTCCGCTTTACACGCGACTGAGCTGAGGCCTTCATTGAACCCGTAAGTATGCTAGGCGTGGTCGCTAAAGTAGTCTCAAACTGCGACTCCAGAGCGGGTTCGCTGGCCAGCGTATCAAGTCGGCGTGTTACCTCAGCCTGATCATGTTGGCCGTCGAAGGGCCTGGATGCAATATCCTTGAGATGGGTAATGTAGCCGTCACGTACGTAAACCTGTTTGCAATCCGAACATTGGTATCTCATTTGACGAGGCGAATGCTCCTTCTTCGTCGAGGCCGCCCCGCGAACATGTATGCTTCGCTTCGGAGTCGGTGACGGCTCGTAGTCCTCCTGCAACGGGTCGTCGGATTCGTCTCCATCGGGGGTCTCCGCGAACGACCAGTCGCAGACAACCGGACTCGACTGCGTGACCTTCTGCTGCCTTCGCTGTTGTTTGCCTTTCATGATCCTTACATGGCCCTTTCGCGAGGCCCGTCGCGACGACCTGGCGGGCAGTGACCAGAGGGAGCCGGCCTCCGGTGGAGACTGCGAGCGAGCGAGATTCACCGAGGGCGCCGGCCGTGACCTGTTCCAAGTCGGCGTGGAGAAGCTCGCATCGATCTCAGGAACACGCCATACCTCCTCCACCGCCTCACTGCGCCTGCCGCCCTGGGATTGGGCGGGTGCATCAGCCGCAGGTTTTGCTTTTTCGGTCACGAGCTTGCCGGTGGTCTCTGCGTGGCCGCGTTGCTCTGCCGATCCATCCAGGATGCTCTCGATGCGCAAGGTATTATCCAGCAGGGAATCCACACTGGCCCCGTCATCATCATCATTATCTGCACCCCAGCCATGTTGGGCGGAACCGGCTTCCCAAGACGGCTGGTGAAGTGTAGCCGGGCCGGGGTGCGGTTCCTGGATCGACGGCGCGGTAGCTTGAGGCCGTGGACTATCATCCGCACCATCCATTCCCGCGGCCAAATGATTGTCGGTATCGCGCAAGGCAGAATGAAGATCGGCTTTCCCGTCCGATGCGACAGACAGCTCGCGTTCGCGCTCGATTTCCCAGTCTAGCGTCTCGCCGCCGGTTTTGCCGTCTCCCTCCATTTCTTGGATGTGGCCATTGTTCACAATGATCTTCCCCGTCTGCAGATCGATCTCGTCTCCTACGTCCGTGAAGTCTCGGCCGTACTTTTCGAAGATCCCCTCAAAGATGGACTTTAATCGTTGATCGTTCTGCGCCCGCGCTTCGTGGATGTCGATATCGTCCCCGTCATCCTCTGGCTCTTCGGACAACGAGAGCCGGGCTCGCTTGGAAGGTGGCTCCATTGGGTTTGTAAATTAATTGCAGCGATCGGAGGACTGAAAGAAAGACGGGAAGAGGACGTGAGAGCACCGGCTTCGTGAAACGGAACACTGGACAAGAAGGTTGTAGGAGTTTGGCACAATCGCACTGTAAAGTAACACACACCAGAAAATGTCAGTTAGTGTTTACCGAGGAGTCGAAAATGGAAGGTGCAATATTTCAAAGGGTAGAATGAGGGGGTTAGAAAGAGCAGAGCGTGACCTACATGGACGGATCGTTTGCTAGGTGAGATTATGCGAAGCCATTCAGCGACAGTTAAATTGCAATTTAGGGGCACGAGTCAGAGTCGATAAGTGTATAAACTGTGACTATCTGAGTCTCCGATGACCAGCATGCCTTTCGGCGCAATCTAACTGAAGTTGAAGCACGGCAGCAAGAATTGCTCAAAGCGGAGATTTCTCCAGCTTTTTGAGGGCCGACGCCAAAATACGCGGCGCGCACCCGCACCCACCGCCGCATGACGTCTCGCCCGCGGTGAATGAGGAGCTGCCGCTGCCGGTCAGTTACTGTACAACACATCTCCCCCATCAGCTCTCCATCTCTTCCCCCTCCACCACGTTGAGTTGCGTGTCCTCTTTTCAGAGCAGAATGCATGAGCAGCTGTTGCCGACACCTCGCAACCATGTATTGCCAGAATTGTCGCACTCCTCTCAAGCTGGATGGCTCCCTTGAGTCGCTCAATCCCGCAGCCTTCAACCTGCTAGTCGGTAAGCAATCATGTGTGTCCAACAACTGCTCACAGCTAACCATGCCTTTCTTCTGGGATCTTCAGGCTCTACAGGTAAATCAGTCCCAGATCATGGCTCCAATTCGTCGTCCAAACCGAGTTATCCTCAAGAACGACGTGAGCTCTACGATAGAGTGTCCAAGCAACCTACATCACCGGTGTATCAAAGATCGATCCCCCCTCCACGGCAGGCTGGGCGCAACCAAGCCAATCCAGTGCGACTAAGTCGAGGTGATAGTGGCAATATGTCTTTTGTTATGCTCACCGAATCTCAAGTCGGACCGCCTCACGGTGGTTCCGGAACGAATGGCGACAACCTATCCCAGGGCAACAGGCCTACGGGCACGTACAACCACAGCCGCGGCGTCGACGAAGGGTCCTTTGCAGACCAGGTCGAACGAACCGCCCGGCTTTTTGACATCATTTCTGCTCGTTCGGACATTGACCACCCTATATGTACGGAGTGTACCGACCTACTGGTAGAAGGGATGGAGAAACGACTGGCAGATGCAAAGAAAGAGCGAGATGCATATAGCTCGTTCTTGCGAGATTTGAAGTCTTCAATCCCGAGTGCGGAAGAACTTGATACTGCTCAGCAGTCTCTCCAAGAGACCTTGGCCGCGGAGGAGGCTGCTATTGCGGAACTTCTCGCTCTCGAGAAAGAGAAGGCCGCCCTGGACGACGAAATCGCTGGTCTCGAGGATGAATCTCGTCAGCTGGATCTCGAGGAAGAGAAATTCTGGCGGGATCGCAATGCCTTTGCTCTCACCTTTGCCGAATTCCAGAACGAACGGGATGCGCTGAACATGAAATATGACCATGATTCCCGTCAGCTGGAGAGGCTACAGAGGACCAATGTGTACAACGATGCCTTTTGCATTGGTCACGATGGCTATTTCGGCACCATCAACGGGCTGCGACTCGGTCGCTTGACCAACCCGTCAGTGGACTGGCCAGAGATCAATGCTGCTTGGGGCCAGACAGCTCTCCTGCTGGCGACCATTGCCAACAAATTAGGATTCCAGTTTCAAGGGTATCAAATCAAGCCAATGGGCTCGATGTCCCGGATCGACGAAATCAAACCGTCCCGCCCGTCCCCAGCTCAATCTGTGATCGGTGGAGGAAATACAGCACCATCCGTGGCTCCTAAGGTCACCACGTACGACCTGTTCTCGTCGGGCGAGCTGCCGCTGAACCTACCCTGGCTTCACCGCCGATTCGACTCGGGAATGGTGGCTTTTCTGGAATGTTTACGTCAACTAGGCGAGTTTGTGGAGAAGACACCGGTGCCTGTGGCACCTAGTCGCCGGGGTCACGCGACTGCCCCGGTGAACGGTCTGAAGCTGCCATATGAGATCAAAGATGGTAAGATTGGCGATGCGAGCATCAGGCTTGGGTTCAATCAGAACGATGAGACCTGGACCCGTGCTTGCAAGTATACTCTTACTTGTTGTAAGTTCTTGCTGGCTCATGCGAGCAATGTTGCTAGTGCAGGCTCTGGCAACTCCGCTGCCGTGGCAGCTGCGGCCGTTGCAGCTGGAGAACAGGCCGCCAACCCTTCCAGCAAATGAAGACACTATGGCCGGCAATACAGACAAGAAGGGACAGCAATATTGCAAAGAACCTTAGCTGGCGGCGACTACAAGTCTTCCGCATGACTCGATGCAGCCCAAGACGAGAGCGGCACCTGCCAGTCGGGTTGAAGCCGATTCATCAATTCCTAGCCGGCTCGCATTGGCTGCCACGAAGCCGTTGGACAAGTGAGGGCTGGACGAGTCATATGTCGACCATTGTTCTTTTTTCCAAAGACAACGGGCTTCTTTGCGTGCACCTAGCCTCAACGCTCTTCTTCCTTGCGTGATACTCTTGTAGTATGGCCATGAGCGGGCACTGAACCGATGAGATTGGAATATGATCAACGCTACAGCGCAGTAGTCAGTTTCCATGTATTGTCCCTGTTTTAGGTCCTCCTATCCTGTACTGGCGGCAGCGTCCAGATCGCAAGTATCTCCTCGGAGGTAGCAAGAGGCCGAAACAAGAACGAAAGGAGGGAAGAAAGCCGGGTTAGACAAAGGGTTGGTCATGGCAGGGATATGCGGTGGGCCACCGCTGCATGACTGATACTTCGAGCTTACTTGTACTTCGTTCTGCTTGGAGAGGAAAGTGGAGGAGGAAACTGAACTTAGAAGGTCAGATTGCCTTGGAACAAGACTGTCGAGCAATGTGAGGAAGGCGGGAGATCGTCCTCTAGTCTGGCCTGGCGTCTCCTGCTTGTTTCTTTTGGTCTGCCTTGACACATTCAGGTTCCTGTAAGCTGTAGCGAGAATCCCAGGGAGGGCGACTGAGTGAATTCAATGATATAGCATAATCAGAGCTAGGTAGGAGGTACACGACCTAACTGGAAGTTGTTAGATCTCCTCCCCGAGATCCATTTCCCGCCCATCCGATCCTTCTCAGCCTCACCCTCCCTCCCTCCTTTTTCTATTCTTCCCTGTACAGTCAGTCCATGATACAACCCACTCACCCCCCAGCGAACCCTCTCATGCATTCCTACAATACCGGAATTAGACCTGTATCCTCCACCGGACCTCCGCATCCGCGACACCATACAAAGCAGGAAAACAAACTATCCAAGCCCCAGCCCCATCCTCTGCCCCAACGCTACAGTCGAACAAGGAAAACAAAGAACTGATGATGCAAGTCACAATGAAGCGGACATTGTAGCGGATCCATAGCGCTGGGTCCATTTCTTTTCTGGCGTGTGATACAGCTTTAAAACAAGATATTGGTTGATTCTGGTGCTAGTAAGGAGGAATAATACCCTTGATACTCGATACTCTGGATCATGATGGAGTCAAGCAAGTAGTGATAATACCATTCATACTCTACTCGGGATGATGGAGCCAAGTAAGCAGCCAGGGGGTGGATGATGGATCACCCCACTACCTATTGGATGAACTAAATTAATCCAGACCCAGAAACGTTTCGGGCCGCGTCTTGAGAACACGAGGCGGACATGGAGTCTTGTCTTGGGCTTTTTTGTTCTTTTCTTTTTTCTTTTTTCTTTTTTTTTTTTTTTTTGTGGTGGTGGACGGATTTGGTGGGTTGGTCTTTTTTTCGGTGCCTTCTAGTTCTTTTGTTGGTGGAGACTTTTGGTGTTTTGCGTGGCTGAGTGAGTCGGTGGATTTGGTGTTGAATGAGGAGAATGGGGGTGGGGTTTATTGCCTGCTGATCTGATGTCTATCTTCCTGTCTTTGTTGTTGTTATTGTTGTTATTGTTATTGTCCCGTTGCCTTCGGTAACTATACAATCCACCCGCCTATTGTCATTCATCCGGTGGCCTGAAATAGGTACCTTACTCCGGAACTGTCACCAATTCCCCGAATATGACGGTAATACATGCATCTTCCTAGTTAGCCACTCTAATTTACCTCCCATACACCATAACAATAGTACCCCAGAGTAGCAAGGAAGAGAGAGAGAGAGAGAGAGAGAGAGAGAGAGAGGAGGGGGGCGGCGCGCGCACTCCCACGAATTTCAGCCAAGCTCACGGCAGAAGCACACAGAGCTAAGTCAATGCTCTG